AATTTCAATTATTTTTGTTAATTCATTTTTTATTCATTTTTATTTTATTTTTATCCTAGTTATGCATTGGTGATTACACTTTGGTATGTTTCTAATTTTCGTTGATCTTATGTTGATTTGTAATTTTAATATCAAGTGATATGTTGTAGTATTAGACATGGTTTGAAGATTTAAGACTTTGGATAGATTGAGAATTATTCGAGATGAATCCCAATCTGATCGACCTATTTTCCAAAGTCCTACATCTTCTTATAGTTCACGACCTATGCAAGAAAAAACATGAATTCAAAGTCAAACATCTTCCGCAAATTGTTCATAACATGTTCAAGAAGCTCGAGCATGATGATTGAATGGTTAAAATTATTAGTGAGATTTTAATTATTTTATATTTTAGTTTATATGTCTCCGATTCCATCTTAATTTTAAAAATTATAATAATAAAATAGATAAAGAGGGAAAACATATTAAAAAGAGAGGTCGAGCTTCAATGATAGATTTTTTTGAACCATTTAGAAGATAGAGAACAAATTGTCATAGAAGTTGATAAATATGGAGCTCCATGTACAAAAGAAGCTATTGCTCTTAGTTCTTACCTTATAATATTAGTAATAAAAAGGAATCCATGCACCTTTAAACATCCCACGATGAGATTGTAAGGAGTTTGGTGTCTTCAAGAATAACCTTATGAAACTTGTGAAGGTAAATTCTCTTAAATAGTTGTTCTCTTTTTACTAGTCTTAAAATTCTAATCATACATGCTCTTATGAAATACATGAATCTATACATGTATAAACAAAAAAGTGTGTGTACCAACACTATAGAGTTGTTTGAAGGGATTAGGGAGTTCCATTTATAACCTCCAATTAAGATTAGATATACTTAGATATGATTGAAATTTGATGTCAAATAATTTCATACCATGAGTTGGTATTGCAACTCGGAAGACCATGAGATGGATATAGTAAGATGGACCACTCTAGTAATATGTAATCATTTTTTGATAATGGTTGGAAAAGATATTCAAATCTGCTAAGTTAAGAGAATTAGTTTAAAATAAGCATTAAAAATTGAAAATATAATAATTGAATTCAAGGGCGAGCTCATCTTAGTACTTTGTGTTGCTCTCTATACCGTCCGTAGGGTACTTGATAACTTGTGTTAATGAAGATGATGAAAAACAAAATGACTTAAAATAATCAAGCAATTGTCCAATGATACAAGATCCATATGAGTTCAAGAGGAGGAGGCATGAAAAACCAAGCAAACAATAACAAATTCAATGTATAATAATACAAGTGTTAGTATGAGTGAATGAATGAATATATATATATATATATATATATATATATATATATATATAGCTCATCTTAGTGCTTTGCCTTGCTCTCTTTACTCGTCCATAGGTTACTTAATAACTTGTGTTAATAAAGATGATGAAAAAAAAAAGACTTAAAATAATCAAGCAATTGTCCAATGATACAAGATTCGTGTGACTTCATGAGGGGAGGCATAAAAAACCAAGCAAACTAGCAAACTCAATGTATAATAATACAAGTGTTAGTATGAATGAATGAATAAATATCATGATACAAATATATACATAGCCCTTATACTAAATTAAGTATCTATTACACTCACCATAATAGACATTTGGTGAATAATATAATACTTATTGGTAAAGCGAGTGTTAATGCATCTATTAGAGAGAATTTAGGCCAACATCCGATCTTTGAGACCTTCAATGACACAAATCTATGAACCTAGAAGACTCGTAATCTTTTCAACTAAATTTGTTTTGATCATATTGGTAAACTATACAAATAGATTTGGAAACTTATTTACATATGCATCCGCTTAGCCATAAATTATAAGAAGGCTAAGGTTATTATCAATAGAGACACGAAAAGATGTCCAAGTCCCTTAAAATTTTTAATCACAAGTGGGGATTTGATGCACACCATATGGAAAGAACATTTAGACTATGATGACATTAACTTCATTAAAGAGTGAATGTACTAATAATTTGTATATCTTTAATCATAAATTTTAAGTATTTAAGTAATTAAGAGATGCCGATATCATTATGCTCAATTATAACTAGGAAATTATTATTATAATATTTTAATTTGCATCATTGTGCTGCATGATGTGAGATGCCATGTAACTCTAAAACCAAAGATATTGTTGAGACAAGTTAGATCTTGTATTCGGTTTATGTGTATGCCAAGTTTGCTATTATTATTATTATTATTATTATTATTATTATATGTTTAATAGGAGAAGTTTGACTTTCTTGATATTGCAAAGAAATGGATTTTGGCATTGTTAAATAAGAAGTGGAGGGATTTCAAAAGTGACTTGAAAGATGAGTGTTTTTATCCTAATAAAATGGCATAAGAGATCATTGCATCTAAAGAATTGTCTCCTAAGTGTGTTGCTAGATCAATGGTCTACTTTGGTCAATAGATGGTTTACTCTAGGAAGCCGTGTTTTAAATTATTTTATATTGTAACTTGCTTTCTTTTACTCGTTTGTATAATTTACAATCAAATGTTTTTTTTTTTATATGTAGAAAACAAGTGAGGTAAATACCGCAAATGCAAACAAAAATAAATATACACATACATTAGGTAGAAAAAGTTATGTAAGAAAAAGAAGAGAAATGGTAATTTTAATAATTTATAACTTTACATTTAACTACTATTTATGTATGAAATTAGATCAAATATATATAATTGTTTGTAAGAAGAAAGAGATGGAAATGAACCCGATAGGTTGACATTGTATGAAGCTACTCATAAGAAGAAGGATGGCACATTTGTGGATGACAATGTTAGGCTAAAAATAGTACTAAAATTTTATTGTAATTTATTTATTGTTGATGAAAGATATTTCATTATTCACTTATTTTAAATATACTTGTCTTGATATTTGTAGGAAAAGGCTCGTTCTCTCCAAGCCGAGCATTATGAAGGTTCCTCAACCACCAGTATTACCGATATAAATGAAGAGATTTTTAAAGAAGTTATGGGTAAAAAACACAATGGTAGAGTTAGAGGATTAGGCTTGGGTCCCACACCAATATTTTTCTTTGATTTACAATCTCAACTTGGAAGTGGTCAAGATGGTGCATCTACAAATCAATCAAGTGAAGTAGAAGAAATGAAAAAGCGATTGCATACAATTTAAACCAAATATGATGCAATAGAATGTAGATATAATGCAATAAATACGACATTAACTATTGTTATCGCTTTCATTGTAGAGAGATATCCCGATCGAATTTGATGCCTACTTTGTTGAATCCTACTCGTGTATCATATACTTTTAATTAAATATTTAAAATGTTTCTTGATCTTAAAATATTTTTCATGAGTTTTTATCTATATTTATATATTTTTTTTTTACTTTCAAATTGTGCTTTTGATAGGTTCGCAATGATGGTAATGGTCAAAATGCTCTTTCTCCTAATCGTTCATCACAATCAAGTCATTTGCCAAAATGAAACATTTCTATAAAAACATGTTTGTTTTTTTGTTTTTTGTTTTTTTTTTTTGTAAACATTAGCCACTTATTTTAAAATATATTTGGAATTTATTTATGTATTTCAAACAAGTGTTTAATCCTTTAGTTTTATTTTTTTCACTTGTGAATGTTTGACGACTTTATATGTATTTGGAATTTGATAATTACAAATTTAAGAATATTGTGTAAGTCTGTATAATTTTTCTTTTATTTGCATTCAATAAGATTAACTTTTTTATTTTTATTTTTTTACCAAAAAAAAAACACAATTGAATTTGAAGGAGAAAGTAAAACAACCGTCTCTATGAATTATAAAATCTGCTTTTATGAATTTTGAAATTGACCGCCTCTATAAATTCTATAGTTTGAGACGGTTTTAATCGTCTCTATAAATTTTAAACCTTGTAGCGGTTACAACCGCCCCAAATATTTCGTACGAAATTTAAAAAACAAATGCGGGAACATAAAGGCGGTTCTAAACTCGCCTAAAAAATTACGTGCTAAAAAATCTTGGAAGATAAAATTGGCATCGTAGAGGTGGTCAAAACCGCCTAAAAAAAAAATCATGTGAGGCGGTTCAAACCACCGCAACTAAATGCCTCGAATTCCCCAACGGTTGGCAAAATCGTCTCTACACCATAGAGACGGCAACATTGCAAGCGATTTTGAGGCGATATAAAAACCGCCCTCGCAATCTGTAGAGGCGGTTATAACCGCCTCTAGAATATAAAAAAACCACATGCAATATCCTTTTTTGGTGTAGTGTTGGCTCAATACAATGTAGACTTTTCGAGAGCTCGTGCTGACTTTACGTAGCACACTAAATTGTGTTATATTTATATTAATCTTTACAACTTAATACAAATGACAATAAACAAAATGACCGTTGTCTTAATAATTGATAACCACTTCCCTCTCTCCTTGCAGAATCTATGGAGTTAAGAATAGCATGGAAGACTAGAATTTTAATTTGTCTCCCGTCTCCACTTTTCTCCTTTATAGAGAAGTATAAACATCAAAGGGATGCCTTTGTGTTTGCAAGAAATAGACCTCTAGGACCAAGAAAGGGATGCTCTGCTATAGTGTCCATGCAATATAATTAAAAACAGGGCAAAGAAGTCAAGAATAACGGGTAAACAACGCTACCATCCTCATGTCTTGCCTCTCTCTCTATTAACAACTTGAGAATCAGATTCCACAAATAATAAGAATTGAACTAAAAAGAAAAGAAACAGCTGTGCTGATCCTTCATATATATTATAGATATCCCATTCATTTGCCTTTTAATTTGGACTTTTCTCTCGTCCGTTCAGCATTGAAACGTTTGGATTCCAAAAGCAGCTCCTCTCTAGCCAGTTAAATTGATGACAGAAAAGGCAAGCTTGAAATGCATCATATAGTATACATTAGCTAGATTTAGCAGTAACTTGGATTGATGCTGTTATTGCATTAATTTTCTGATTTGTTACAAACTTATGCAGTTTTGCTGCATGGTGCTTAGGATCAACATGGATTGCAATGGATGTTACAGGAAAGTAAGGAAAGCCCTCCTTGATATGCAAGGTATCCATATTTTGGCCACTGCCTACTTTACAATGAATATCTATCAAGTTCAATCCTGCGCATGATTTGATCTTTGTTATAAATTTTGTTTAATTTGTAGAGCTAGAGACACATTTGATAGAGAAAAAGCAGTGCAAGGTAAGTATGTGTGGAAAATTTATCCCTCAGGATGTTGCAATCAAGATTAGGAAGAAGACTAATCGCAGAGTTGAGATATTGGACATACAAGAGTTCGGCAACAGCGATGAAAATCAAGATCAGGGACCCTTGATCAGTTCTTGGAATGTCATGTCAAACCTAAACCAAATCGCAACATGTGAAGTTTGAGAAAAATAGCCGTACGTCGTCTCTTCATCTTGTAGGAAAACCATATGCATCTTCTTCCACAGTTTCCATATATATATATATATATATGGTTCTTTTGTTACAAAGAAAGTTTCGAACTCTTCATAAATGTATGTGTTATTTTTTGGGTTACGAAGCAGAGGTTCTCGCCTGAGACTTACAACCTCGAGACATTAATGTCTATTGAATTATTGAACTATAGATTAGATACATAATAGTTGTCTTCTAATAAATATTATGTTTGCAACCCTCTTACTTGAATTCAATTCAGATGTTCAATTCAGAAATTTTAATAAAATCTTATATTTGGAACCATTTGGAATTCAATTTTTAAAACTCGTACAAAAGTAAATCAGAATCCAACCTATCTGATTTGTTATAGCAAAGAGAGTAATCTGATTTGTTATAGTAAAGAGTAGAGATTACCGTTAAAAATTAGCCTTATGAACAGTAAGCACACACCATTGTTAATTCTCAACTACATGACCCAGTACTACAGCCAGGACATAAAGTCCCACAATTGAAGGACATGCTTTCCATGGTGAAAAGTTAGTGTGTACGTGTATCTATTAGAATTGATAATCATGGTTTTGTTAGATGGGGTATCATGTCCCTGAATGTCTAAAAAATAAAAAATTAAAAAGTTTGGACCTAAAAGGCTAAAATTAAATTAATCCATATTAATGCATGGTATACTTGTATGTCAGTATGTATGCATACATATAATATCTTAATATATATATATATATATATCTATGTTATTGCAATATATTTTATATAATTCATGGAGTGCTTATTGTTAATTCTATTAAACAAGAAAACATGCTTGTCAAAATATTAAAAAATTAATTATTATTTTAAATCTAGTTAGTGATAAAACTTTTATTGTGAAATTCTCTCATATAAACGATCGATTTTAATATTTATTAAATGGAAAAATAGGTAACTCTATATATTAAATCATATGAGCAACACATTTAATATTGTTAAAAACCTCTTATTAATTTTTTTTTTATAGATAAATAGGTCAATCTATTTTTATATAATAGTTTCGAATCTCTAATATATTTCTATGTTTCTAATTGCATCTATTATATTTTTTAATATTTTTTTAGTTTTCAATTTGTTATTTTAATTAATTTTTTTTTTACTATAGGCAATTTTTTTATATAGAAATTAAAAAAAAAAAAAAAAAAGCAAAGAAAAAACCACTACTTAAAATCACATGACCATGATCTATTTTTCAAGTTCATAATTTTTTTATTGCATTTTATTTAGGAGTATTTCGGTCAAAAAAAATTACTTATTATCGAAAAATTGATAAGAAGATGAAATTAGATACTTAAATATTATTTAAAAACATAACAAATATAATTAGAAATATAAAAAAAGAGATTAGAGAAGCGTGACTATTATTTAAGGATAAATTGATTTATTTACCCTAAAAATTTAGAAAGGGCTAATTTATAATTCTTAAAGCCCATAATTAAAAAATTTATATAAATATAGAGACTCAAATAAACTTTGAGAGGCCATGGCCTCCTCTTACTCCTATATAGCTTTTGTACGCCTTACAACATCACCACTAAACCCTCTTTACTTCTCACATATGTTATTCTCAATTTTGTGATTTGTGTAGATTTGATAAAAGAGGGCCTTAGGGACAAATATTTGAGTTTAATTCTGTGGGTCATTTGTGGTGACAGTGGTAATGGTGGAGCAGGAGAATCAGAGAAAGAGAAAGAGAAGGTTGTGTTGGTTGAATGAGATGAGTTATTTGTTGTTGAAAACATTTAGACAGTTTTGGCATAATGGGGTGTAATTGAACATACACAACTAATTTGAACTCACCTAAGTTAAGTAGCTTTTGATTTTTATCTTTAAGCTCTTGATGCTTCATCTACCATTATAGAGTAACATCTTTTGTGAGGTACATGATTATTGTGGTCTTGACACGACTTCTATTCTCGATCAAGTCCACCGCCTCGAAGTATTTTTCCATTACCAAAATGAGACTTTTTGAAGAAACATAAGAGAGAAGATGAAGTTACATAACAAACAAAATGAAATGATTTTATGAATAAGATATCTCTTCCTAACATATGAATCCAATTTATTCACTAATGGAATTAAATTAGAGCATTCTAATTAAATTAAATTTGAACATTATAATTAAATTCAATTTTAATGATGGATTGATTACATAGAGTAACTGCCTCAATTTGTGGCTTTTTATTTGGTTTCTCTTTTTATCGGTATAGACTAATCATCATGAAGGCTAAATTTAACAAAACCAACTTTCTCTCTCTTTGCAGTCAATGCTAGAAGTTTATCAGACCCATTATATATATATATATATATATAGTTACTTGAGGAATGAAGATGAAGATATAGCATGCCAATACAGCTTGAGTTCTTTTGCATGCATGGAGCTGCTCAAATAAAACTTTAGTGGACTAATCTAATCCCTAGACGGCTTAATTGTCTACTTTGCTGATCAAGCACGCTTCCTCCTACAAAATTTTCGAAACAGAAGAATTCCATGATCTAAAGCAATCACCATTACACTGAAAAACGATAAATGTCGTGTGTAACTCAATCAAGGTGGCCAAAAGCTTGTTTGAGAATATGGTTTAATAATTCCCAACAGCTGCATGCTGTGTACTTTCTTTTTGTGTTTAATAGGTTAATCTATTAATTTTTATCTTAAGATTATATCTATAAATTATATTTCACCATTGGTATACTTTTTTCGTCAAGACATATGACAACATAATTTTTTTTGCTAATGTACTTTTTGGTCTTTAAATGTTTTTGAACATTTTACTTTGTTTCCTTTATTTTAATTTTCTTACAAATAAATCCTTAATTAAAAGTTTTTTTGGTTATCGTATTTTATAGTAAATACAATTTGGTTTCTAAATATTTTTTTTCAATTAAATTCCTACATATCAAATCATGAACTTAGTCAAAATTCTTATATTATTTTAGATACATGAAGTATTTTTACTTTGATTTTGAATTTATTTTTTCATATTATTTTAAATATAGTATATTTTAATAACCTAACAACAGTAATTTCATTCTTACCAAACCAATTGTCAATTTAACTCTTGTACACTATACATAAATCAATCAATCCATCCCGCAAACACAACAAAATCACGACATGTTGACATATGTTCGAAAGTCAAAAAAGAAATTTTTTCTTAAAATAATAGATCAGTTTTTTATTTTTTAAAATAATTTTTATTTGATTGGATTGAATGTGCGACTGTGATTAATTTTATTATTATTATTATTATTTGAATATTTGTTTTCTATAATATCATATATCTATAATGATAATTTTAACCAAGTTTACGATTTGACATGTAAGAATTTAATTAAAAAAATCATTTAAGAATTAAATTATATTATTGTAAAATACAATGATGAAAAAAGAAATCAATAAAAGACTTCTTTGTAAGAAAAATAAAATGAAGGGATCAAAGTAAAAATTTCAAAAACGTTTAGGGTTCAAGTGTACATAAGTTAAAAATTCATGCTGCCCGTGTAGCTTTTAATGACATTACTTGCAACGTTAGGTATCCGAGACGCCTTACTTGAAGTGTCACAACCAAATGGGTCACTACTAAAGCCTATATCCTTTCATTGTACTTACAACTTGTTCCTAATTTAATCACATTCATCATTAAATATATTAATTAAAATATATCATCAATAATATAACCACACAATCATCTTATTGACATAGCGAAGTATTTTGTTAAAATTTCATCCATATTCCATCTCAATATTATTATCACAATTCATCCTTAAATTCTAAAAACATCATTCATCATCATTCAATATTTATAAATAACCTCAACATGTTGTTCATACTTAGTTACCAAGCAATAATTCACAACATTAAAAAATTTAACATTATTTCCCCAATATTCATAAAAGCATTCATAAATATTAAATATTCACTCATAAACTCATATTCATTTATTAAAACATAACACAATCATCATTTATTTAGGGACACTCAAACGCAAGCATATGAGTCATTGGTCACCGTACGTAGAATCAATATCCTCAATATTTACATCGATACTTATATCACAGAACGAACGTGAGATACGAATATCTCAATCGAGTGCAATATCCTCAATATTTACATCGATACTTATATCACAGAACGAATGTGAGATACAAATATCTCAATTAGTGCAACATGCATGATTTTATATTAAAAACTTTTATTACATGAATGTATTTTAAAACTTTTTTCTTATTTGGGCCCACTAGAAGATGCTAACCTAATGCACCATAGCCTTTAAGTTTGACTCTCTCTTCGTGGGTGAGTCGCCTCACTATGGTCACTAGACTAGTAAAGTCCAGCTTCAATGAAAATATACAATCACATTAATCTCAATATTTAAACCTCAATATGCAACCTCAATATTTTAAACTTCAACATTGAACCTCAACAATTAACCTCGACGAGTTAAGCTCAATGGTTAGCTTTTATCTTTAACATTAAAATCTCAATATGTATCCAAAATATTTTATGTCACAAAAAATCATTTACATACACACCTCTTGCATTTACTTAAAATTATTTATTTCATCACAATCAATATGTAAAACATATGTATGCATATGAATGCACTTCAAGACCATCACAACACGTCATTCATATTAAACACATAATATTTATGTCCATGGTGTAGGTGAATTGTAATTATCCGATTCACTTAAAACAACTATTCATTTTCATCGATTGAACATAACATACAGTTTCATACCTCATTATCATTTTCATCGATTGAACCTAATTTCATCATCAATTCTCAATTAGATCATCAATTATACTTTAATCCACTCAATTCTCTTTTCATTCATCTTTAATTGTATTCTTATAACCTAATTCTTTATTTTTTTTAAATTTCTTTTCAATTCAATCCTCACATAACTTATCTCTACAATCCATTATCTCAACCAACTTGGGAAATGTATCAAACCCATTGTCCAATAATCAATCACAACACCATTATCTTATTTCAAGAATCAATTAGTATAAATAATCATTTAATCATTAAATTCTCAAATTCAACTCAAACTCAAACCCTAACCTATCTCAATCTTTAATCAATAACAAATCCAATATAAAATAACTTCAAAATAATCAATAAACACATATAGACATTTTAAATTTAAGACTAAATAGCAAAAATCTCACATTTGTCAAATGAGTCTTTAAACCGCAACTTCTTTAAATCCCTCTAAGCTTCCCAAGCTTTAATCTAACTAAATGTTACTTCAATTATTTTGTTTTCATAGTTTTCTAAGACATTTGGGTAAGATTTTAGCATAAAATTGAAGGAAGAAGTTCAAGGGAGTAAAGGGAAATCTATGGGTTAGAAGTGAAGGAGAAGGGAATGAAAGAAATGGGAGAAATTGAGGGAAAATAGGGTTGTTTCATTTTTTCAAAACTAAGTCTGTCAATTTTTTTTTTCAATTTTTTTTCAATACATTAATTCACTTCATTCTCATTTCTACCCTTCTATTTAAAACTCAAAAAAATTATGTTACTTTGATCCATTTTTTAAATAAATTTAATCAAAGTTAACTAACTCTAATTACTCTATTTTTCCTTAATCTCAAAACACATTTAATCTAAAACATATCCATCTAATTAAAATAATTGAAAGATATTAATCACATGTATAAAACAAGAATGAAATTAAGATACACCCTCAAAACATACACATGCATAATATAAAGAAGAAAATTTCGAGAGTTACATTAGTACACAATGAAAGGATGTAATGAAAATAAAGATGAAAATGTAACATATAAGAATGATGTTAAAATAAAAAATAAGAGAAAAATCTCTTAAACACAAAAAGAATGAGAGATATAGAAAATTATTATCCCTTTGAAAATATCTGAACGCAAAAAAAATAATAAATAATAAATAAATAATAAAAAATAATAAATAAAAATCAGTTCTAACTTCTTTTTTTTTTTTTTACTAAGGAAGTAATTAACTAAGAACTAAATATAAAAAATCTGAACCATTATTAAGTTTCATAAATAACTAATTAAATTATATACTATCACGTGTAAGTTAATGATGTATTTTGATTTTTTTTATACTCCATTCATCTAATTTTTTTTATTTATTTATATCTATTCCAAAATATTTATCTAGTCTGAACTTTAAGTGATATATTTTTTTAAAATTCATAATTAAAATCTATTTTGTATAACATTATCTATATACACTTTTTAAAAATATATATTTTAAAGAATTGTGCACAAAAGATATTGATAAGACATAATAATTAATAACATTCTTATGTATATAAAAAATAAAAAAAATTAAAACAATTTGTGTGAAACAAAAGTATTTATTTGAAAAAAAAACCAATAAAATACACCTTACTCTAATCTCTCGTCCCCTTTACCAAACGCTAAATATTTTCCTAAGCAAACCTCAAAATTACCTCCAATTATTGTTATTGAGGTAAATATAAATTTTGCTCTCAAGCAATATTTTGTATCAATTTTATTCCCATCTCTCAATAAATATCTTATATTATAATTTTTTAATATAAAATCTTAAGTTCCCTACCAACCAAACGCCTTTTTTTTTTTTTTACAAAAACGTAAAATTTGGATGGAATCCATGACCAAATATAGATGGAAAGACAATGAAAAATTTTCATAACTTGGGGGACAAAGTGGATACAAAAATTGTTTAGGATGATGAAATTGCAACTATTTATATAGTTAGGGGGCATTTTTTAAATTTACCCTTCTTTCTCTGAGAAAACGCCGACCCTGTTGAGTGAATTATTTTTCTTTTCCTACTTTTTCCCACAGTTAGGCGAAGGCAGTTAGCCATAACTGAAAACTCCAATCCGGCCTCACACTTTTAATTTAAAAACCCTGGTCCCTACGATGCCTACCTCAAAACGACACCGTTCCATCTCAAAATAATTCAACAACCACCACATCCTTTCTCTCTCTCTCTCTCTCATTCATTACATTATTAAATTATTAAACCCAACAAAAATTCGGTGCCTTGTCAGGTTCGACCGGCTCTGTCTCTTTTTTATTCTTACTTTATTTTTTTATCATCAAAGATTGAAAGAGAAAGAGTGAGACAGAGAATCACAAGAGCTGTGTAGCCATGGCTGGAAAGATGAAGATGGGATCTTTTGCGCAGACATTAGCAGGGAAAAGGGAGAGACTTCTTTCAACCACTAAGGGTGACTCAGAGATTGTCTTTCCTAATGTTCAAGGACCAAATGAACCCACAAGAAATTGTTGCAGTTATAGATTCTTGTCTGATAAGATTGTTGGATTTTGTAAACAAGTTCAAGATGTTGCTTATAGAGCGTATCAAATGGGAAAATCTGATCCAAGAAAGATTGTTTTCTCTGTAAAAATGGGTTTGGCTTTGACGCTAATTTCTTTGTTGATTTTCTTGAAGAAGCCCATTAAAGAGCTTAGTCAGCACTTTGTTTGGGCTATTCTTACTGTTGTGGTTGTCTTTGAATTCAGCATAGGTACTTTTGGTTTCTCTGTCCTTTTCTTTTCCTTGTGTTTGTCTGTGTGGCATGATTGATTTTTTGTTATATGGGTCATTGTTAAATGTGCGTCTCTGTGTTTCTATGTACATGTCTGGGCTATTCAAATGAAATCGGTCATGATTTTCTTTAATTGTTCCTTTTTTGAGTATTTATATAATTTGTGTGTGTCATGCTATTTGATTTTGGCACTGTGAAAGAATTTTCCTTTGTGTACTCGTGTATGCATACATGGATATAAAATATATATAAGATGTTCGATGTGTGTGTAATTCAACTCTCTAATTCAGTTTATGTGTAGCATTTTTGGTGAAATTCACTTTGTTTCAGGTTTAATCATTAAGGATCTTCACTGAGTAAATTCTTGCAAGTGCTTATGCACTTCTCAATTTTTATGAATTTGAGCATTCCATTAATTTGATTAAAAGACCTATGAGTTTGCTGATATACATATCACTATAGGCTCTTGTGAATTGGACAAAATTGGCATTGCCAAAATCTGTTAAATTTATAAGGTTGCAAGTACAACGAGAATGGAAATATGATGGAGTGATGTTGATGAACATTCATAAAAATCTTTGGTGTAATGGAAAGGATTTATAGTGACAACTTACAAAATTATCCAAGTCTCCTCTCTCTCTTCAGACCTTTCAGCCATCATATTGTTCAAAGATCCAACGAAGTTTTGTGGTCTTCAGAGGAACTAATAAATGCAAAATTGCTGAAGGGTAAGCCTTCATCCAAATTATCCCTCTCAGGACCCCTCTCCATGGCAATCACGATTGACTAATTGCCTTCTTTACTTTTATAGCCTTGTGCTTTGAAATTGAAGCTCAAGTTGGCTTAATACCACATGACCCATGGTGTGGCCTTGAGTAAATATTTTATCAGATGCATTTTAATCATTGTTGAACATAAACAAACACATTCACTTCAGTTTTCTCACACCTTTGGTTTTTTTTTCCCCCTTCAGGAGCAACCTTGAGCAAAGGATTTAACAGAGGGATTGGGACATTATCAGCTGGAGGGCTTGCTCTGGCAATGGCAGAGTTGTCTCATTTGACTGGAGCGTGGGAGGAAGCTGTTCTTATTCTTAGCATCTTCTACATAGGTCTGGTTTTGCAACCATTTTTACACAGTGAGACATGCCATTTTGTCTCCTCAGTGTTTATTTTGTGTTTTGCTCTTTCTGATATGCTTTGTTGTTGCTAGGTTTTTGTGCAACTTACGCAAAACTATACCCGTCAATGAAGCCTTATGAATATGGATTTCGAGTGTTCTTGTTGACATATTGTTTCGTAATGGTATCCGGGTATAGGACTGGGGAATTTATCCATACAGCTGTTTCACGATTTTTGCTTATTGCACTAGGTGCTGGTGTTGGGTTGGCCGTAAATATATTGATATATCCCATCTGGGCTGGTGAGGATCTACACAACCTGGTGGCAAAAAATTTCACGAGTGTGGCAACTTCATTAGAAGGTTGATTTGCATTATGTTCCCTACTCACGATCTCATTTTTTTAAAAAAAAGTAGCAATATTCACTTCAGAAGCTTGCCTTTTTAGCTTAATTTATTCAGACCTACTAATTCCTATGAGCTTGTGTTTAGGTTGTGTTAAAGAGTACCTTGATTGCACTGAATATAAAAGGATCCCATCGAAAATCCTTACATACCAAGCTTCTGATGACCCACTCTATAGTGGCTACAGAGCAGCTGTAGAATCTAAAAGCCAAGAGGACGCTCTGGTATTTCTTCAACATTATGAAGCACCTGAAACCCAATGCCTAAGCTTTTTGTTTTCTATCTTAACTTTTATTTTTTATTTTTTTCCTTGCAAAGATGGGTTTTGCTATTTGGGAGCCTCCTCATGGTCCTTACAAGTCATTTAACTACCCATGGAAAAACTATGTCAAAGTAAGCGGTGCGTTGAGGCATTGTGCTTTCATGGTCATGGCACTGCACGGATGTATTCTTTCGGAAATTCAGGTGGTTAAGCTTTTCCATATCTAACTTCATTATGAGATTTAGCCAGTAGAAACCAAACGGGACTAGATTTATTTAACCATATGCCCCCGATGGTGGTTTGGTATGCTTGATGACATTGCTGTAGTATGTAGGCCCTCTGGTAGTTATTTTTTCTTTTTTAAATATATTTGTTGTAGAAGTAATTTCTAGTTTTTTTTTTAAAAAAAAAAAATTATCTGCTATATGTATGGACAAAATTTTACCTTATTTTCTTCCATAATATCTTCTGCACATTGTTGTGCTTCGTAATTTTTTCTTTATGATATTTGCTTTCTGAAAAGGCTTCCAAGTCTGGGCTTAAATACCACCAATTTCAAGCATATCTAGACGTTGTAGTCTTGCAGGAATTTTTGTGAATTTCATTATACCTGGAGTATTTTGTTTGAAATGATTGAATGCCCAAATAGAAGTTGTATTGTGATTGCGGTTCCATATCAGGAAGTACAAAATACTGTGTATGACATAATAATTATCCAGTTAAAAAATATTTTTGATGTAATAGTTTGGTGATGTTATTGACCGATCTCTTTCGCCCTTGTCTTTTTGCTCTGCCATTTTATGTCTTGGATGAATCAAATGGTAAAAGATGCATTCAGGAAGCATAATTATTGCTTCTATTCGAAGCAAAATAGGGCATTTTGCAAACTGTCAAGTTCTGACCTGCATACTTGATTGATCTAGTGAAGTGCTCAGTCAATTCTTGTGCTTTCCTTCTTGGGTTTGCATGCATGGTTGGTGATACCAAATGAGGGCGCAGCCTTTTTAGAGTTTGTTCTCTGTCACAATTTGTTAAGTAGATATAATGGTCAGGGCATTTAAACAGACAGGCTTTGCCACAAACAACTGGCAAATGCCGCATGTCAGATATATTCCTCACAACCTAGAGCAAATTGTTGATGAATGTACCTCCAATTTTTTTTCTATCCATTTATCCTTTTTTCAAGGATCACTATTGGTTTATCGTAATATACTTTCATGCAGTTCTCAAAATCTTGCTCTGCCTCGAGCTATCTCTGTTTGTTCAGTGCTAAAAGAATACATGTTGCATGATCTATAATTGCAGTTGGCTTTGAGAAAACCATCAAATATTAAGACTTCAGCTTTATGTATTTCTACCTTTTCATTTTTTGATAATCAATTGAAATGGCAACCAAGTTAATTCTATGCTCGAATTTGTCTGTCTTTTGCCATGTCTGTGCACCTATAATGGAATCGCGTCAACAGCAAAGGTTGTGACTTCCCAGAGGTACTATTTTTGCAAAAGTATTGAATCTCTATTGTTTGAATGTGCAGGCTCCAGCTGAGCGAAGACAGGTATTTCATCATGAGCTGAAAAGAGTAGGTGCTGAAGGAGCAAAAGCGTTGCATGAACTTGGAAACAAAGTAAAAAAGATGGAGAAACTAGGTCCAGTAGACATACTCTATGAAGTGCATGAGGCTGCTGAAGAGTTACAAAACAAAGTGGACCGAAAGTCATACCTTCTTGTCAATGCAGGGTTCTGGGAAATTAGGAATAGGGAAAAGGAGCTGGGAGAACCCCAAGACTTGCTGACATTTGATGATGACGAAAATATAGTCCTGGAATACAAGTCCCATAGTGAAGCTGTGCTTGATCTCGGATCAACGACTCTACCAAAAAGTTGGGATGGGTGTGCCCCCAACATGGACGTCAAGCCCATCTTCCATCCATGTAATTCCTCAAAGGATGTGTTAAAGAAACAAATATCTTGGCCTGCACGAAATTCATTTACCAGGGACACACTGCCACAAGTTGAAGAATCAAAAACTTATGAAAGTGCAAGTGCATTGTCTTTAGCTACATTTACATCTCTTTTAATTGAATTTGTTGCAAGGCTGCAAAACCTTGTGGACTCATTCGAAGAACTAAGTGAAAAGGCAAACTTTAAAGAACCTGTCGAGCTGCCAGCACCTGCAGAGGCTAATGGGTTTTGGATCAGATTGCATAGAAGTCTGAGGTTCTGGAAATAATATGCAAGTGGTGAAGTGGATAAAGATCTTGAAGGACAAGAAATTAAGGCTCAGCTAACTCTTGGATGAATCGGTACAGTCTTGACGATATTTGGAACATGCATCAGTTTTGAACTGTGTTAAGTAGTACTAATTTTAGCTGCTGACAGAACTAGCCTACTGCTTCCTGATGCTTTCCAAGAGATGCAGGAATGCAGAAAAATATGACTTTTTGGAAGTAGTGTTAAGGTGATCTGTTTCTCAAATGAGAGAGGGATTGATATGGATAGGCAGTGCCTTACTTATGGTGTACGGAATGGTATGATGATGTATTGTTGAACCCTTCATACTGTTACTGCACAATAAATTGACATTTAAGCTCTGGAAGTTTGGGAAAGTCTTTAAAAATATATAAGCTAAAATTTTCTTTTCCTACTGACTTGTGCTTCTGAACAGCAAATTTAAAATTTTAATTTCCTAACAACATAAATGCTTTTCATTATTTATTTATTTATTTATTTGGTTTTAAGTTAGTTAAATAGAATCCAAGTTTGAGAACTCTGCTCCGTCTCCATGCGAGACGAGGGATCGGGATCCCCACGTAACATCGACACTCGTTTAATTTTTTGTATCTCGTCCCGTGTCATTCTACCTTATATTATCTTGTATCAAATTTTAAACTAGAACAACAAGATAATAGTTCATAGAAAAAATATAATTAAGAAAGATAATCATTTAACATCATATTCAACAACAAGTTTACAATACAACTCATAATATATTAAATTATTTTTCATCGAATAAATAATATATTTAATTAAGTTGATGAAGTATCACAAATGCAATTAAAAAACATAAAGTCTTGCATGTCTTTATTGCTTAGAGATTATTAAAACTCACTCATTATATTGGAGACTAATTTGTAGCCTCGAGTTTTATATATATATATATATAATTGTAATTTTCAAAGGACGGGCGAGGTGGGCAAACACCGGTCTTGGCCCATCCTCGTTCAAATTCATCGCTCCACCTAAAGAACTCTGCTCCGTTTCCATGCGAGACAAGGGACGGGGATCCCCACGTAACATCGACACTCTATTTAATTTTTTGTATCTCGTCCCGTTTCATTCTACCGTATATTATCTTGTATCAAATTTTAAACTAGGACAACAAGATAATAGTCTATAGAAAAAATATAATTAAGAAAGATAATCATTTAATATCATATTCAACAACAAGTTTACAATACAACTCATAATATATTAAATTATTTTTCATCGAATAAATAATATACTTAATTAAGTGATAAATTATTTGATGTGTCATTTCTACTCCAAAAGATTTTTTTTATCAACCACCTAAAATGATAAAAAAATCATTTTTTAATAGATGTTGAAGAATTATGATCAATTTTGAAGTGACACCTAATTAACCAAAAATAATGTAAACTTAAAAGCAATAAAATATTAACCATTAAATTCTTGTTATTCATACCTTTATATATATATATATATTCTAAATGATAATCTATGTTGAGTGCAAATTTCTTTTTTTAAAAAGAAAAATTGATGTAATATCAACTTTGTTTCAGTGTTGCCATCATTAAATTTTTGAAAACTATGCATAGTATATTAATTAATATCAATAAGCAAACCTCTATTGTTATAAAATAAAAAAGGCAATTATTCATTGTCCTTTGTTAGTCTGCATGAAAAATGATTATATTGTACATTAATAATTATTCTCGATATTAATTTTTTAAAAATAAACATAAAAAAGTTTAAAATATGGAAAATAATCATCATTTTTTTGTGAGAATGTATAAAAGTAATTATTAATTATTGGAGGAAAATTGATATTGAAAAAATAATAAATAATGAAAAAGAAAAGAAAACATACAAAAAAAAAAAACCAAGTTGGATATGATCCAGGCCCAAACGCAGGGCCGAAAGGCAACTAAGCCAACACGTTTGGACTAGAAAGACGCGTCCCAACGATGTAAGAAAAAAAAAGAAAGTGATGGATGCCTCGTTGACAACAGCAGATGATGTGTTAACCAGTCATCTTCTTTCCTAAATTTTTAGTGACTAGAAAGTTGCTAGAATATGGAAATTTAGGAGCGAAAACTCAGGATGCACTATTTTGGCCCTTCACACCTATTTTCTACATCAATTTCACTTTAAAAAAAAAAAAAAAAAAAACACTTTAGAATCATTTAGAAACCATTTTAAATATCAAAACATGCTCATATTCACTATAATAACTTAAAAATATCAAATCAAATTCGTAAACCCAGTTTTTTTTCTTTTTTTTTGAAAGTCAACTTTTATTTTTTCAATCACTTGCTAAAACCATCATCAACAAAATTCTATGATGAAGACGAATACATCAACATCAATATAATTGGATTACATGCTCGGATGGCAACTTGCGAGAGATTTCTTTCTCCTCCCTTATCTCCCCTTCTTCTACATTAAGGAGCCTAAGTTAATACAAATGAAGTTTAGGGATTTTTTTTTATAATTGCCAAACTCCAAAGGCTAAGTAGAATTTAAAAAAAAAAATCACTTTTTTTAAAAAATAATTGCATCCTTTAATGCAAAAAAGGCCCTACATGGTGTACTTTTTCTAGATGTTTTACTCTATAAGCTTAGTGAAACACTTGATTTTTATAGTGAAACCTCAATCTCTTTTATTTTTTCTATTGTTAATACTATTATATTTAAAAAAAAAAAATCAATGCTCGATCATCAATTAATAAGAATGTGACGTCAAAGGGATATCTTATGAAAAAACCTTTTGACCTTTTTTTCTCCCTTTACATTAAGAGTATTCTAATACAACATTCACGTATTGAGACCAAATTTTTCTATTTAGATCTTAAGAAGCTATTACATTCACACTGATGCATGCAAAAAAGAATTTCTCTTTTGATCTCGTCCTAGATTGAAATCCTTGATGGTGACTTGTGTTGCTGGGGATGTTGGATCGACAAACTTGAAAAAAAAGATCTAAAAATAAGTCGTTATCTAATATTAAAATAACTAAAAAACCTAAATGATCGATATAGTAAAAATCAAATATAATGGTTTGGCTACATAAATGAAAAATGACAATCACCTTTTTATGTTTTACCTGAAATAGGTTGCATTCCTTACTTAACATTTATTTTTATCTTTTTATGCTAAATTATCTATGCCTATTGGATGTATTATTGTTAGGTTAAAAACTAACTAATCATAGATGTCAAGCGATTCAAAAATTAAACCAGCAAAAGGCCTTATTTCTAATTATTAAATTCACATGCAATGGACACAAAATGAAGGTGAAAACAAAAGGTTAAAATCCGATCAATTTATTAAATGAAAAAGTCTACACTCACATCCGATAGGCCTACGTAGGATCATAAAGGTCAAGGCTAATTTTTCTATATTCCTCTTATGGACAAAGCACACACATCCAAAGACTTTAGAAGGAAGAATTAGTCGTTTGCAAAATTTCAAAAGAATTTTTAAATTTCAATGTTCTTAATGACATTCTAATAATAAGATATGCGATTAAAAGTACTGCATTCTCTTAATAGATTTTTGTAACATTCATAATAAATATGAGAGATCTGATCACTTCTAATAAATAAACGTTTTCTTATTAAAGACTTCCTTTTGTGCATTAGTGTTTATATAACTTGTTTGATGCAATGTCCCATAAGAATCGAGACAGGTCCGAAAGACACCATTTATGTATTCTATACTATTGTCAATTCTCAAAATCTTAACCTTGACATTAAACTGTGTACAAATCATCTTGTGAAATAACGAAAAATAAGAAAAAACAAAAAAACCTTATTCTTTGCTTTAATCAAATAAACCTATGTCATCCTTGTGCAATAACTAGTAAAGATAACAAACCATTTATAACCTAAAAATGATGTAATTTATGTAGGAAGCTTCTAATAACTTAGTTTAGTGTGCCTGGGTCCTCAATAATCACATTTTAATTGATCCTTGTCTAATGTCCCCAAATCATTAGCTTTCGTCTGTTCATGAACGGTGTTGGGCATCAAGCTTGGTTTATCTATCGAAATTGTGTGTATCATAACACTTTTTCAACTTTCCTCCTGTTGTACATTGGAATATGTTTGCCTTAAAGAAGGTAAATGATCATTATTCAATATTTTTAACTAGTATTTGATCATATTCCAAATTCAAAAAAAAAAAAAAAAAAAAGTATATATGCATTCCTTTTCTATCAATTTCTGAAATTTAGTTGTGTCTTTGAGACATCAAGCTTGAAAGTCTTGATGATAATCAACTTCTTACTATAAACCACTCAATTCAGAAAAAAATATTGAGCAATAGTCATCTTACATTGTTTTGTTTAATGTATCTTATTTTGTAATTTATAGATACGCACATCATTGCCAACTTGAGAATAGGTTTGTGATACTACATTTCAAATTTTATGAGCAGTATGAAATAATAAATAACCTTTAAAAATATGGGACTTGATGGAATTTATGAACCATGACATCACAAGGAGTTTTTGAATATCTATTGGCTGTAAGTTTAAGTATGTTATTGTTGGCTTTGGCTTATGCCTCGCAATATAGCCTTTCAAACTTCTAGCTTTGATGAACAATAAACATGACCTTGACCAGACAAGGTAATTTGTACCATCTACCTTAACAGAATTGATTTGCAAAAATGGATTGTCATCTAAAAAACTAGTTTTGTTCTCGATAATATTTTTGTTCCATACGTTATGCTGGAAAAGAGGCAAAAAAAAAAAAAAGAAGACGTATGTTTAGGTTAAGATACGATTTTGCCAGTTAAAGATGGCAGTGGCTTAAACCCTAGAAAGGCAAAATTCCAACTACTATCGAGCGATATGAGCATTTCACTTTTTAGACGACAGTCAACTTTGATACTATGATGTCAACAAGAGAAGAAAAGAATATAAAAAATAATATTTTCATTCATATTTCATTCTATGAATTACAAGCAAATTTATACATCATTTCTAAAATAAAAATAGAAGTAATAAAGGCTAAAAATCAAGAACTAAATATACATCATATTTTAACATACTTACATCCTACAAATTAGGAAATCACATAGCTGTTAACAAAAATGTTTTATAATTAATAATTAATCAATTCAAGATATATGATTTTCAAAATATATGCAACAATAATACTAAAATAGAGTTTGTAAAACACCAATTTTATTATTTTATTTAAAAAAAAAACAAATCAGCATTTAAATAACAGGAATTTAATAGATAAATTTTTATTATTTTATAGTTTATATTAAATTTCAACTGATAACACCCTACTTCAAAGTTGATAATAATTCTTCTAAATCTTTAAAAGTGTGATTCCTGATTCTTTTAAAGTGGTATAAACACATGAAATAATTAATCACTGAATCAAAACATTTGGTTATGTAGATTTATGATTAAATTTAAAATAATGGAATTTGTTGTTCGAAATTAAATCGATTTGCAATAAAATATTACAAAAAAATGGAACTATCAATTAGAGAAAAATGAGATTTTTTTAATCAATAATTATAGACTCGTTAACTATAATAAAGCATCTTTTCAATATAGGTGCTTGAGTAGCCTTTCGATGTTTATTTTGGTCTTCTTTCAGTTATTGATGATTCTAATTAGATTTTTGGTTAAATAAATAATTAATTGTATATTTTTTATTGATTAAAATCAAATATATCCACAAATGTATTGAGAAAACTACAATTTAAGTGTTCAATTTTTTTTTAGCTCAATCGATAAATCTTTTTATTTTAGTGCCCAATCTTTGATTTTTTTTTTATTTGAATAACTCAAAATCATGTAAAACGAGAAAATATTGATGTATTCGGATAAACTACCATGTGGCAGTTTTTAAATGTACTTGAGGCAATTTTTAAATGACATGTCAAAAAATGGATCCCGCTCAAATTTATTGAAATAAAAAACTATAAAACTTTCATAAAAGAAAATAGTTGGTAAGAATTATAAAAAAAAAAATCAAATATCGTTAGTTGAATGAAATTGAATTGTTTAGAAGATCCAAGTTTAAAACTCTTGAATTATAACGAGTAAATGATTTTAATTTTTTTAATTATTACAAACTATATTCTTTTATTAAATTTATATCTATATATATTTTTTAATTTTTTTCTCAATAATTTTGAGTGTGATCCATCTTTGTCACATGTTAGTTAAAGGCTGTCATGTGTCGTTGGATCCCAACCATATCAATATTTTTCAGTTTTAGGTAATTGCGAAACTTAAAAAAAAAAAAAAAACCTTCGGATACTTAAACATAAAAATAATCAAATATCGGACACTCTTGCAGACTTTCCCTAAAAATTTAGAAATTTTCTTTTTTGAATAATTCTAGTGAGATCTATTTTATATCACGTATTAGTTAAAAATTATTACATGGTGCTAATTTCAAACACATTAACATTTTCCAATCTCAAGTAATTATGCATATTCAAAAAAAAAAAAAAAAAAATTTCAAACTTGAGCATTTATATAGAAAGATTTATAGATTGGACAATTAAGCACCAAAAAAAAAATCAAAAATTAAATACTCAAATTACAGGTTTTTCAAACATATTTAATTTCAGGCATAAAACACTTATGATGTTAAATACAACAATATATATATATATATATATATATATATATATAACTTTCTGCAGTCAATATTTATTGACTTTAATTTCACATGCTTAAATTTTTATAATTAATTAAAATATCGAGAAAACAAATTATAAAAGTACTAGCAAGTAGGCTACTAAACTAATCATTTAAATAAAAAAAGTGAACCGAGGATGGCAACTGTTATTACACATCCAAAATTGGAAAAAACAAGAATTAATTATGTAAAAATAAATGGAATTACATGTACTGTGGGGTAAATTTAATAAATGGAATTAAATGGATAGTTGATATAATTAAAGGAAATATTAATTCATATAAAAAAATAATGCATAGTTTTCAAAAGTAGCAAATAATTATCAAATTAGAATGAAATTGAGAAAAGATAAATAATAATTAAACACTATTAGCTATTGGATCTTGATTTTAATATGATTTAACCCCATTAATCTTATGATTTATATGCCTTTTTTAAAGGTTTTTTTTCTAAATATTTATGATGATTTCAAATACCAGGGAGTAGTTTGATGGATCTGAAAGTCCATAATTATAAGGTAGCTGCCAAAATTAAGGCCTCGGTAGCGGGGATTTGCTAAAGGGCTGGCAAAATGTTGAAAAGGAAACGGGTCGGGTCAACCAAAATGAGATACTCCATGAAACATCAGGAAATGAATTCAGTCAAAAAGCAGCAAACGAATTGAGTTCCGCCACAAAATCAGAAAGAAAGAAAAACAAATCAGTTGAAAAATAATAATAATAAAATATTAGCAAACAAACCCAACGATATTAAAAAAAAAAAAAAAAAAAATCTAGCAGTACACAGCTTTGGATCTGTCCCTCCCTCTCTCTCCCTCCGGTCTCTACCAAACAGGTTGAAAAAAAAAAAATCCCTCTTTTTTTTACAGATCCATCACCTAATCGAAGAAGAAAACCTCCTCCATTTCCCCGGTACCAACACCGAATCCTTTCTATTTTTTTTTCTTAAATCAAATTCAGATATTTTATTAGTCACTTTTGGAGTACGTATAATTATTCATTTCTAACTTAATATTAATTTAATTTGTCTTATAATAATTTTGCAAGATAGATCTAAAGCAAGATGGCGACGATCGATGAGCCTTTGTACCCGATCGCCGTTCTAATCGACGAGCTAAAAAACGAGGACATTCAGCTCCGATTGAACTCAATTCGTCGACTCTCTACCATCGCTCGTGCCCTAGGCGAGGAGAGGACTCGCAAGGAATTGATTCCTTTTTTAAGCGAGAATAATGACGATGATGACGAAGTTCTTCTTGCTATGGCTGATGAATTAGGTGTTTTTATTCCCTATGTTGGCGGTGTTGAGTATGCCAATGTGTTGCTTCCGCCTCTCGAGACGTTGTGCACCGTTGAGGAAACTTGTGTTAGGGATAAATCAGTGGAGTCTTTGTGTAGAATCGGAGCGCAGATGCGAGAGCAGGACTTGGTCGAGCATTTTGTACCACTCGTCAAGGTTTGATTTTCGATAATTGATTTTTGTTGTTTGGATAAGTAATTGTAGAATTGTTGTGATGTCTTTTACATATTGTTGTGATCTTTTAACGTTCAGAGACTGGCAGCGGGTGAATGGTTTACGGCACGAGTTTCTTCTTGTGGTTTGTTTCATATTGCTTATCCGAGTGCTCCGGAGACTTTAAAGACTGAATTACGTGCGATATACAGTCAGCTCTGTCAAGATGACATGCCTATGGTTCGTAGATCTGCTGCCACAAACCTAGGGAAGTTTGCTGCTACTGTTGAGCCTGCTCATTTGAAGGCTGACATCATGTCTATATTTGAGGATTTGACTCAGGATGGTATGTACATCTTGAATATGCTGTTGGTTGCTATTCTTTGCCTCTTTAAGTAGTAGGTGTAGCAGCTGATTTTTTATTCTGACCAGATTACTAGGGAGGATAAAATAGGTAAAGAAGTGAATCCAGGGAAACTATTCTCAGCTATCTATTGAAATTCTATATATGTTTTGTAGGATATAACTGAGGGATAATAAAATTTAATCTGGCCAGCTTTTGTCATTAACAATTTTGTTTTCAGCAACACTTTCTTCTAGATAATTTACTTAAGTGGTTTGGGATGAAGTGCGTTTCTGATTGTGTTTTTGTTAGTTTGAGAGTCCATAAAATCCTGGCTAGCCTATCTGATAGGCCATGGCATTGATTATTGTTATATTTGTATCTTTTGTAGCTCTCTGTGAGTCCTTTTTCTACACACATTTTATAATACAGAAAAAAACTAGGAAATTCTAATTGTTTGAGAAGCATAAGCAGGTGCTTACCTGAACTCTATTCTTCTGAACAGAAATGAAACCTTTTATGTTTATCCTATTCACAACTGGCATCAACGTTCCCATTCTTCATTATGGAGTGCAAATATAACTGTGTCTCTATTCGTTTACATTTCAGATCAAGATTCTGTTCGATTATTGGCTGTTGAGGGTTGTGCAGCTCTTGGAAAATTGCTGGAACCCCAAGATTGTGTGGCTCATATTCTTCCAGTCATAGTTAATTTCTCACAGGTATAACATAGCTCATCTTTCTAGTTGTTAGTTTTGTTGTAATGAGGTTATCTATGATCCAAGCTCTTAACAATGCATATGGTCATCTCATGCCTATACCGAAAAGGTTGGTGAACAGTTTTTGTTTTGACCATTATGCATGATCCAAATATTTTCCTGAGCAGGACAAGTCTTGGCGTGTTCGCTACATGGTTGCCAATCAATTATATGAGCTCTGTGAAGCTGTTGGTCCTGAGCCTACCAGGTAGTCACTTTAAAGCTTCGGTCTATCTGTTACTTGTTTGAAATGTATTGCATGTCCTGCATTATGCTCGCTTCTATTTTAACTTCCATACAGAAATCAATCCCAAAAACTATGATATAATGCTTTGTAATGTGAAAAAAAAAAACTTGTTGCCTGGTTAATTGTTGTTTTCTTGATTTATAGATCCTTTACTAGTGAATTAACTTGTTCCTTGGATTTAAGTTCTGCCTATTTGATGTTACATATCTAGGTCTGACCTGGTTCCTGCATATGTTCGGCTACTTCGTGATAATGAAGCTGAAGTACGTATAGCTGCTGCAGGAAAAGTAACTAAGTTTTGCAGGATTTTGAATCCAGAACTTGCAATTCAGCATATTCTTCCTTGTGTAAAGGTATACATACTCATGAAATTATTCAATTTTATTCTTGCAAGATTCTTGTTTAATTATGTAGTTTTCTTTCAGTTGTGGTACATTTTAAATCACTTTGGTAGTTATTGTTTATTTTCTGTCTTCTGTAGGAATTGTCCACAGATTCATCTCAGCATGTTCGTTCTGCTTTGGCTTCCGTTATAATGGGAATGGCTCCAGTTTTAGGGAAGGTAAGCATCATGTCTTCGTAATTACATTTTTAATATAGCTAGAATGGAAGTTTTGAGTTCATTAATTCGTTCATATTTTTATTGAAGTAGAGATTGATATGGCATAAACTAATGTGATATTTATAAGAAACAGTTGCAAATGTGAAGATCATTTGTTTACATACATGAGTTGTTGTTTTACCACCTTATCTGTTGATCTGGTTAACATTTTAATTGGAGTATGTGCTGCTAGTATGCCTTTTTGCCAGTAGATAGTGCAAGGGCATTGATTGTATCATTATTATAGTATCCTGGTAGCTTGTTTTGAAATTTCAAATATCTGATCTCGTGTCTTCTTGCAATTGGCATGCTTGTAGGTTTCTGCCATTTGTATTCTTGCTTTTCATATCTATCCCAGAGAACATTAACCCTTGAGTTTTTGTTGCTTTGCCATTGGCTTTCAGTGGAATTGTTTTCACTATTATTATTTGTTCCTTGAAGAAGAATGCTTGTATCTCTCCTTGTACTTAAGATGGTTTCTGTTGATGGTGGTAGGATGCAACAATCGAGCAACTGCTTCCGATATTTCTCTCGCTTTTGAAAGATGAATTTCCTGATGTTAGATTGAATATTATCAGCAAGCTTGATCAAGTCAATCAGGTTTGTAGATGCTGTTAACATTGAATTTATATTTTCATTTGTTTCGAAGATCTTCATGCATGCTATTTCATTCTTTTCTGTTTTATGAGAGGTCTTGACATAATGCACCACATCAAATTATGAGAATTAGCAGTGTGATTTTGATGTATTATTGGAGTTTATGATATATATGGCTTCCTTCAATTTTCTGGTCCCAAATCATAACATAAACCAAACTTCTGATACGCAGGAATGTGATGTTTCTTTCTCTCGTGTCTTTTTTGGTGCTTCTGGCTAAAGGATTTCCCATCTTTCACTCTTCCATGTTATTACCATCCATTTGTAAAATGAACTACATTTGTTTTCCTGGTGGCACAGCAAAAGGCTCGTAAACTTACCATATTGATCCCAGATTTAGGAGATTTTTATCAGGATTAATCTAACTGAATACGTTCTTCTATGATTAGTGCTTGGAAGAATTAAAAGGATGTGACAGATTTTTATTATTAGATTGATGATTTGTTCCTGATGTGACAATGTGAGGAAACTGTTAAAAATGTTGTACTTCTGAACATTTAGAGATTCTAGCATTCATTTAGCTGAACTTGAAACTAAAAATGCTATACAAAATCCATGGATTAGGACAGAGCTGCAAAGTGTAGTCCTATCATATTCTAATTTGACACAGATTCCTTCACTCTAGATGATTTTGAGGGTTAATTGGGGTCAACAATTTGTGGTCTAAAAACTCTCTGCTAGACCTACAACTCTTACCTGCAATTTATCTTTTCTTTTTTCAGTACATAAGCATGATTGTTTTATTGTTTGAATTCCAATGCAGGTAATTGGAATTGATTTGCTCTCCCAGTCCCTATTGCCAGCAATTGTGGAACTTGCAGAGGATAGACATTGGAGGGTTCGGCTTGCAATTATAGAATACATACCATTGTTGGCAAGTCAGTTGGGTGTAGGGTTTTTTGATGACCAGCTTGGTGCTCTTTGCATGCAATGGTTGAAAGATAAGGTTTGTTGAGCTCTGTGATTTTGTGTACTCTTGATCTAGGCCTATCCTGCTCTTTGATCATCTATGAAGTAACGCTATAGACAACCTCACATTTCATTGTCAGCAAATTGTTCCCAGATGCTTGGCTATCTAGTTTAATTATTTGCGGGGCTTAGATTACAAAAATCACCAAACCTTTTAGTTCACCTCAAAATGAAATATGATAAAGAATGTCATTCCTTCTAGTGCTATCATTTTTTAGGCCATGTACCTTCTCTTTAATCAGATCATTATGCCTGGCTGGTCTAGTGGTAGTGTGTGTCTTACCATTTGAATTATGCTGTTTCAATTCTAACTTTCAAGCATAGTATTGTAATATGCAATGTTATTTATTCTTGCAATATGTCCTTAACTAACTATACTGGCTATTTGTACAGGTTTACTCAATTCGTGACGCAGCTGCTAATAATGTGAAGCGCCTTGCAGAAGAATTTGGCCCAGAATGGGCAATGCAGCACATAGTTCCGCAGGTTTGTCAGTTGACTATATATAACCGTGTTTTGGTTCCTCTTCTCTTGAGTAAATGTTATATGGGCAAAGCGAATTGATGAAGTATGAGAGTAATACCTTTGGACTTCTTGATGATGGAAACAAATAGGGCCAAAAAAACAAAAAGCATCTGCCAGCGTATATAGATTTGTTTTTTTGTTTGTTTCCTTTCCTTTTTTTGGGAGGGGAGCTGATATCTTTTCTGACATCTTTTCATTCGGTCGACAGGTTTTGGACTTGATCAACAACCCACACTATTTGTATCGGATGACCATTTTACATGCAGTTTCTCTAATTGCTCCTGTTATGGGCGCAGAAATTACTTGTTCCCAACTTCTTCCTATTGTCATCAATGCATCAAAAGACAGGTGAAGTAGTTGCTCTCAGAAGCTTAATTTGCGCAATTTCTTTGTTACAACTTTGTACTATGGAGCTGAGAGTTGCATGTTATAGGGTACCCAACATCAAGTTCAATGTGGCTAAGGTGTTGCAGTCACTTATTCCTATAGTTGATCCGTCTGTAAGTACATTTGTCTACTTCTCTACTTTTGCTTTTCATTTCAAAGGAATTAATTTTAATATTTCACATTTTGATATTTATGGAAATATTGAATTCTCCAGTATGATATATAGACATAATGCACCTTGAACTAGATACGAGTATGTTGAAGATAAGGTGAAGAGAAATCACTCTTTATTATCGAAGTCATGTATCCTACTCAATTATTATTATTTTTTATTCGTACTCCCCATGCCAATTGGAAGGTATTGACAACGTCCTCAAACAACGCAGGTGGTGGAGAAGACAATCCGTCCATGTTTGGTTGAGCTAACTGAGGATCCGGATGTCGATGTCAGATTCTTTGCTACTCAAGCACTACAGTCAAGTGACCACGTCATGATGTCTAGCTAGATTGATGTTGTAATTAGGTATTTTTACATTTTTGTTTCGTTTCCCACTTGCGATTTGAGTTGTTCAATTAACCAACAAATATGTGTAATGTCTTAGCTATAAGGTACTATAGTTTCTTTGTTCTTTTGGACGATTGTACGTCTATTTATCTGAAATGTCTTGAAATGGATAAGCAGCTTGTATAATTCTGTTTCAATGCCATGTCTGATATTCTAGTTTCACGACATGATGCAATAGTTTGACAATTCGACTTCTCCATATGATTAATTTCAGATTGGATTATTTTGGATTTGATTAATATAATATCATATTTGATTAATTTAATAAAATATGTTAACAGAGTTCGGTTATAAATATTGTACATCAACCTTATCTATTGCATTGGAGGTAGATTGGATATGGCCTTTGACGTGAGCTTCCTTTTATTATCACTTTCAACGAACTTGTACATGAGAAGTTGGAGGTGGGAGCTTGAAGCTCTTTTACTATTAAAAAAAAAAAAATGAATAATATAAATAGATCTCTTTGACGAGAGGTTGGAGTGCACTAAGCAGCAGCATATTTCTCATCGTAAATGGTATGCTTGAAATTCCAGAATGAGAGGACAGGTAAAAGAAAAAGGGAAAAGATTTGGGGACGATTTTTTTTAGTTTCTGAAAAAGATAACCTTTTTCCAGTAACTTTGGACAAGAAAGTGTAAAAAAGTACCGAACATGCTTGGTTAAACATAAATGCTTGGTTAGAAATAACTTTCGAATTAAATTAAAATGTTAATTTCAAATTAAAGTAAAATTTTTTCTATAATCCGAACTTCTAAAATATTTAATCCAACTTAATTGATTTAACCCATGTGATCTCTATTCTTAGAACAAATTGCCTTGATCATTTGGACCAAACACATGAACAATAACCTTCAAACTAATCAGACAAAGTTAATATTCATAAATCATGCCAAATGCACTGTTAATTAGACCATAAATAAGGAAATTACAAAAATATTGAACGTGTCGAGTATGAATTGTGTAGTTAATTTGACGTGTAACAATAGAGGACAGGTACCGCGGTGCCTAAAATATATAGCATGCCCTTTTGTCCTTAGAAAATTGTTTTAACATGGACTCACTATAAAGCTCTAGCAATAAATATTTACAGAGCAGAGCAGAAAACCAAACTAGTACGTACAGTATCTAGTTTGCATCACAATTTAATGACCTACTACCCGTCGAAGAATGGCAGACCATCAAAGGATTCCAGGCTATCCAATCTTTTTGGCTTGGCACAATCTGAGGGCGTCCAGCCAATCTTCTTGTTCACGTTATCATATACCACCAATTGCCCCCTCAATGATATATCTGTCAGAGTTAGACTAGCATTGTAACATAGAATGACGAGGGAAAAAAAAAAAAATTCCAAGCATAGAAAAGAAAGATGCATCTATTGTATTTCGTCTGCAAGAATGAAGATGATGGCTCTGGATTTTGTAGATTTGGGAAATTAGGAACTTCAATATAGTTGAACTGGATTTAAAATAACCAGAAAATAGTAACTTCATATCTCACAAGGGATTGAGAAGAAAAAACACTTCCAAGGGAAAAGCAACACAAGAACTCAACTCTGTGCTGAACATGATGTCATTCATATTACATCATGTTAAGAACATAGTTGAGTCCTTGTGTTGCATTTCCCTTGTATACGAAGACACACACACACACACACAGGCTGTTGAGAGAGAGAGAGAGAGAGAGAGAGCACCAAATGTTACAATACCAAAACTGCCAAGGTTTTTTTTTTTTTTTTCAAGAATAAAACTGCTAAGGTTGTCACATTAAGATACCTCCGAGAATAATTGTGTATCCATCATGAGCTTTGCTTCCATCAAGAATACCCAAGCACACATTGCCTTTGTCCTGCAGAACAGCAGAATTCCCATCATGCAAAGATATTTCATGTTAATACATTTCAACAAGTTGTACAAACTAGTGCTAAAGAATCCTTACGCTAATCACCAAGTAACCCTCTGGAGGTATCCGAAACTTCGTTGAGATAACCAACCATTTGGTCCCAAATTGAAGGGTTAAGGTCTTGAAGAACTTCTCTACATCTTTAACTGATCTGCAGGCAAATACACAGTTTTAAGATGTTAGTCCAATATAATTCCTGGGCATCATAAGTTTCAGATAACACAAGAGAAAAACAAAAGGAAAAGAAGTTCTTAAACAGTCCTCCTGTCTAACTAGGAGTTAAATTGTTAGGTTATTACAACTGTTTGTCCATTCCAACAATTAAATGAATCCGATTGTTTGCTTTGCCACAATTCCCTCTGCTATCAACATTAATTCATTGACCATTTATAAAGAAGCTTAATTTAGAATGATGGAACTTTAAGTCACCATGTGCATTCTATTAATTACATTTCTCAAACATTATGCAAGTCAAAGATGGAGCTGCTGATTTCATTCAGCAAGCAACAGAAATGACAGAAGATATCAGTAAGTTCTGAACGGCACTTAAATCAACTTTATTTGAAGCTGGAAGGTGTACATATATATAAAGGACAAGCAATCCATGTGCTCAAACACAAATCAATGGCTAACCTTGACTGAAAAGACTAAAATCTAAGAAACGCATTTCTGATTATTAATTTTAGGCAATTGTTGCTTTCTATCAATCATTACACCAATGGCCTTTTTTTCCTTTTTAACAAAAGTGGGCAATAGTCAATCAAATGTCAAAGCGAGCAGCTTTCAGGTCTCATAGATTGATATTGTAAGCATTATGCATTCCAGAATCAATAAACTAAACAATTTCCTAATGGGAATAATTATATAAGACGTGTCTCAAAATTGGCTTCAGCTGCAACATTGGCAGTGACATTTAATGTGGCAGCAGCAGCAGATGGGTGGTGTTAGCACTTGCTAACCCTAGCAAGTAGCAAGGCTACTTGCAATGGATGTACTGGCAACATTGGAGATGAAATGGTAAAATTCATATGGTGATATGTATAGAAGAGATATGCCTATGCGTGGAGGAAGAAATCACTTCCAATTCCAAGGTAGGCTAATAAATTTAGTTATAGATGATGAGAAACTAGTTCCTTGGGGGAAAAAAAAAAAGAAAAAGAAAAAAGAAAAACAAAGATAATAGAGATGTAATCAATCAATGGAATACAACTCCAATATAAGTAGTATCTGGAGTATCATGAAGCATTGGAGAAAAATCCACAGCATTCAGAAAAAATTGCAAGATAATCGATGGGGTACTTGGTAAAATCTATAATATCTTACAAACTCGGGCATATAAAGAGGCCAGAGGAATTCATACCTGATGCCGCAAGAAAAAACCAACAAGCACAACCTAAAATAGTTGTTGACCTCTTGATAGAGAGAACTCTTGGAAAACTTATTTATAGCGAAGACTAAGTACAAATAAAAATTTTCTATTTGTCTGCCATACCTGATAGGAGAATTAGGTCTCCAGCATATGGGCAATGTTGGATCTGATGTATCTTGGATAAGTCCTGCCCCAGAAACTTCATTAAGCTGCATCAATGTGGTATATGATAAGTAGAATGGGTGGCAATGCTTTGAAAGAAGTGCATGGCCATGCCAGAAAATACTTACAGAAGCAACCAGTCCAGAATATGCTTCTTTTGGAAAGTATGTGTAGGAACTGCCACTATCAAACAATATGTGTTTCACTCTGCTCTCCACTCCCCCTAAACTGAGTGCACTGCTTCCATAATGCAGTTTTACAATCTCTGTATGATAGAATTCCCTGAAAAAGTGGGCAAAGAAACAACAGCAAAATTGATGAGAAATCAACATGAAGCAAAACAATTTACAAATTGACTATCCGTTAATCTTACCTAAATTACACAGAATGATAGACACAGGTGAAAAATGGAATGAGCAGTGTGTATTGGGCTTCAAAGAAACACATAATTAACTAGTACCATATTCCAGAATATTTCCACCAAAAATGAGAGATTTTTAACCAAAATGATGATTCTTCCTAACTGAACATTTTAATTATCAATTTCCACCAGAAAACATTCCAAAACCTAAAAGCAAATGAAAAGCCTAGAAAAATAAAAGATGGAAACTGAAATCTTCAGAAAATCCGTACTTACATGGAAGGACTGTCAAGCATGGGGACCCATGCCATACCCCGACGTGGAACAAAATCATCACCTAAAAACATGTATCCACCACCACCTACATCAGTGGTAAGGCAATGACCTACGACATTGTTAATGATACCCTGGCTTGTCAATTGAGAAGGTAGACTAACTTTAGCCCTAGTTAGCCCAAGTATCCCATCTGTCTTCACCAGTGTTTTTAAAAGCAAACCTTGCTGATCATATGCACACCTTAAAGACAATTTACACACATATCAATGTTTCAACAACAAAACTAGGAAAAAGTTACAATAAGCTGGAGAAGTGAAAATGACGTACCCGAAAACAAAGTTTAACTTGGTCAGTGATCCATTTGCAACCATTAAATGAAGCTTGTCTGTGGCAAGAACTCCCATGGAGGAGCTATGATCAGCGTATTCAATCTCGTAGTCACATTGTTCGCATGCTTCACAATATCCTGCCTTTTGATTTCTTTGGACATCCATGCATAATAAGTCCTTGGGAGGTACTATATTACCTCTTCTTGGCTTGTACAAGGCATTAGCACCCTGCATTAGCCATATCTATTAAAATCATACTGATTTTTGTCTCAACATAGTTAAAACCTTAAGATTTTATCATATATCATGGTCAGTTAAAATATATGATCGCAAAATCTGGTTAAGGATGTATATCAGGCTTAGTGTGAGGGGAGGAACAGCATCTTTGTGGAAAATGCAAAAGCAAAATATGAGCACAGACAACAAGTTTGCCTAACTGCATACTAAAATGGCACATTAACCTTCATTCACTAATTATTTCAGGCATTGTTACAACATACCTAATAATGGAATTCATAAAGACCACGTCCCTATTTTTCCACTGAAATAGTTAAAGCTGTAAATGCTTGTATGCTAACTTTCTTGTTTGCAAGCAGATGAATAAAGGAAATCCCTTCTTTTTTTTTAAATAGAAACCTTCAGTATTATTTTTTTTTTTACCATTTTAGATGAAGAAATTACATTACAACAGCAGGAGAAAAACCACGTTAAAAAAATGAAAAAACATAAAGGCAATAAAAGAGACAGTAGACTGTGCATGCAACAACATATGCAAAGAAAAGGAAAGAATATTTAAGGGATGAGTTCTGCAACATTAGCATAGCAAAGCAAAGATCAATCAGGCATTTGATACACACCAACACAAATTGAAGGATATGCATCAAGTCATGATGAATATTGATGTTACGCGACTCATTTAAACCAACTGGCCCAAGGACTAGTAAGAATTAGCCATTACCTTGGCACAGCTAGTGCAAGGAGCATCACACTGAATCCATGTTAAATCACTTCCAGTATCAATATCAAGATAGTAAGGTCGTGGAGGACTCCCAACAAGCATATATGTGAAATATAATCTGAATAAAATCCAGCATTTTGGTTAGCAACTGAATAACGTAGAACTTACTTTAGGGCATGAAAAGGTTATCGCAGTGATAAAGCTATTTTTTTTCCAAACCAAAAAAAAAAAAAAAAAAAGGGCGAAAAAGATTGTTATATTAGCTGTTAGCTGTGCAAAGCATTCATTTATTTCCCATATCTTCCTCAAAAGCACCTAAAAAAATGTATTAAAGGTCTTGCTTTAAAAAAAATAAAAAAATAAAAAATTTGATAGAGAAGACAATCTTAAGTTATTTATATTCGATCCAACTAAAACAAGACTTTTTATTCTATATCTAGCTTCATAAATAACTTCTAGCGACCAATAAGCTAAATGGAACTCAATTTGCACTATCACTCTCCACGGTGAAACTCTAGATTGCTACCTCTACGTAAAAACAAACAATCCACCTATTCAGTCTCCTAAAATTCTACCTTGACATGAATAGTTATAACAAGCAATAAGCAAAATGAAAGTCAGATTGCACTTTCATTCTCACTTTGTATGACCAGGAATAAAGTTTAAAATTGCTATATATGCAAAATCAACAATCCAAATAGTGATCTAGATAAACAGTGCCATATGAAAAGTATTAAATAAAGGGCAAAAAAAATTGAGGCATACCCATCTGGATAAAGATTGCCCCTGACAGGAAAAATAGTGGACGAATCCACTGCAGCAGTATTTGGAGACGCCAACTTAGTAATTTTATGGGGTCCATTCAAATCATCAACAGATGCCACCAAATTTTCCTTATACACAAACCTCTTCAGATGATTCTCAAGATCATTCAGTGGAATCTCATGAATACCCAATTTGTGATATAAAGGAAACACAAAAGACGTTGGCTTTCGATCATCATCATTATCATTATTATCACTCTCCAATTTTTGAAAGGTATTAGTAAACAGAGAACTGTAAATAGCAATAGCAAAAAGAGAGATACACACAAAAGACAACAGCTTTCTTGGGGTACCAAGAGAGAGCCTTGACAGTGGGAATTGGCGTTGAGGGTTTTGTGGTAGTAGTGGTTGGACTGGAAGCTGATCTTCTTGATGGGTTTGGGTTTGGGTTTGCGTTTGGGTTTGGTGAGATTGTGGGTAGTCATCATTGGTGAGTGTAAAAGCAGTGATAGTTTTACCTAAAGAAGGGTTATCTGGCGGTGGAAGTGAAATTATGACTACACCTTTTAATTGTGGGGACTGGTCATCATCAGACTCCATATCTTTCTATGTCCCTCTCTCTCCCTCTCTCTCTCTCTCTAGCGCCAAACCAAAGGGAGGCCAGTGGTATCAGTGCATGAAGCCGAAGAGAGACTGAGAGATAAGGAAAAAGATGGGTTTCTCTGTGTCCATCTAGTGTTGCTGTTCGCTTCCCTTTGGTGTTTCCATGGAGTACTGGGTCCCTTGACTCTTCCGAGAGCATAGAATAACAAAGTCAAACGTTAAATAGTGTTACGCAATTACACGGAAGGGACCCATGGAAAGAAAAAATTGCAGAAGTGAAGGATCTAGGAAACTACTCTCAATAGTAGGCAAATAAATGAAGGGAAAATCTGAAAAATGCCCCCCCAATTATATAGATTGTCAATTGCCACTACGTTATTTTTTTTATTTCAATTTTACACTTAAGTTATTATAAATTATCAATTACGATCTTTCATCTATTTTTAAGGCTTTCTCAGAGGAATAAAACTTGTAAAAACCAAGTGTAGACGAATAAAACTTGTAATTTGAAAAATAACGATATAATTTAATTTATATGGCTAACGATATAATTCAACACCATTAGCTTAAAAAAAATAAAAAAGCAACACAATGAGAACATAAATCAAATAAACAAACTTAAAACAAAAATATATACAAAAAATAAAAAGACCCCTGCACTGCGGCACCCATTAACTCCACCATTAACGTATCCGGCCGAACTAATTAATTACTCGGTAGTTTTCTGTCACCGTGAATTGAGTCGTTAGTATAAAGACGGCCTCTACTTCAAACGTGGCTCTTGCAAACCCAATCTTGTGCTTCTCTTTCCCCACCTTTTCTTTCTCCATCCAGATTCTTACCGAAATGAATTGAGAAAATTGGATGGGAAGTGGCAACATGATATAAGGAATTAAAAAAAAAAAAAAGAAAAGGGAGAAAGGATAAATATCTAAGGCTAGATTCTTGTAAAGTGAATCTAACGGCTGGCAAAGCACATTTGTATATGAAAACTTGCGTCTCTAACCAGACTATTTTATTTTTCGCTTAAGTTGCCAGGGTCTACAAAGAACACAGCATGCTGCCCAGTGCTCATCTGTTTTACATGTACCCCTTCCATTCTCTACAACTCCTAGAGATATTATAGTTTCAGTAACGAGATTACATCTTCAAGGTACCCTGCGAAAGAACACCAGTGCCAAAATCCCTTGCTTCTTTTTTTCAAATGCATCTTTCCTGTCAGAGCAATAATAATACAGATCGTTGGCATTAACAGCATTGTACATGTTTGTCAACGGTAACATCCTAGACAATCCCTGTTCGTTCATACAAATGGGGTTAACCTAAGCTACAGGGTCAAATAGTTAGTCAAGGCATGAGTAGAAAGGGATGCGAGCTGGAAAATGCTGATACAAAGCTAATGCTATGCAAAGTCATGAAGATGATATAATCTAAAGCTAATGTTTCGTGGTGGCAGTAAATGCTCTAAACTTGCTCGGAAGCTCTATTGTCCCCGAAATGTTATTGCTCAGATGACATGGAAGACAGCTTCCCCAACCATAAAACTATCCACCTCGGAAACTGATACAACCTTCTGCACAGCTACCTTCATAAATAGTGTATCAAGGGCATTTTCTTTGTACATAAGAAGCCCCATGCTCTTCATACCTGTCAATTCCACGTGCTTAAAATGAGTATGAAATATTTGCTCAACCTTGAATTCATAAAGTTACTATCAAATTTATATTCTGGAAATCCTTGAAAAAATGGAACAGAACTTGAAAATATACCCCTTGAACCTGAGTAACTAACAGCATCATATAACAAAGAGCTCTGAAAGGTGAAACTTACTCAGACTTAGAGAACCACATCTGCTGGAATGAACCAAGAGATGCCAATATACTCCCTCCTATCCAAACACTGCTCAAATAATCATTTGTAAAACCACCATCAAATTTTATTCGTAAAAAAGAATCCTAAATAAATTATTCAAGAGGACTCATCCGCTAGAGAAATATGACAGTTGATTAAACTTGAATGCTTCACACCAAAAAGAAACTATCAGTTCTTCTACCAAGTATTTGTACAGGAAAGCACTCGTGGTAAACACTCAAAACAAAACAATGTCCAATAAACACACTGCAACCACCAAATCATGATTCAGATGCATGAGAATAAACTGACTTAGAGAGCCAAGACAAATACCATCTTTCTTTCTCGCAAAGATGAGAATACACACATCAAAGCACCATACATGGTAAAAGTTGAAATCATCAAAGACTGAAGGAATTACTCCTCAAAGTTTCAAGGAAATTTACCACTGTGCTAGGCACTAATGTCTATGCTCTGTAGGATATCTGGCTATCCACAAAACATTCAATCATTAAGTTCTTAGGCTCATCTTCATTTCTAAATTGATTTTCTTCAGGATTCTTAATGCTTCAATAGATGTAGATCTAACGCAAACCCCAAATACCATTTTTCAGTTGGCCACCAGTCTTACAACGAATGAGATTGCATCACTGTTTAGTTCATACATTTTTGTTTGCTAAAATTTACACAAGAAGCCACTAGATACCATAGCAATTGTTACACTGGAAAACAGAAGCCAATGTAGCCAAGTTCTGACACCAGTATTTACAAGCACATGCAGATGCAAAATGCATAGGGTGCAGAAACACACACACACACGTGTGCACGCAGAGAGAGAGAGAGAGAAGCAGTTAAGCAAGTCAATCAAACCTGAATCTCCTTTCAGTTGCATTTCCACTTGCCAGTACTTTAACTCTGGCAGCTTGAGGAGACTCCTACACATGGATGAATGATCATTCCATTATTTTTGTAACTGTAAGGTCCAAAACAGAATTTCCTTTTTTTCCACTTTTTGAACTGTGGAAACAGAAGTTTGTTCTCATACAAAATTGTATTCATTATAGATGACTTCTGATAAAGAGTAGTTCTATCATTAAATATTACTCTATTATTAGTCTTAAAAAAAAAAAAAAATGCATGCACAGAAGCAAGACAGATGACTACAATAATACAATGAGCTTTTCCATACTAACTGTTGGCACTAAATAATGGAGTTGCAAGTGAAATGCTTCATTCCAAGTGTATGATGGATAAAACATACTAATTATGGAACTGTCAGTATTAGGCAGGGTAAAATTTTGCCATAATACTTCAGGTCACTGGATACACAATATTACTTTGTGCATAAAGCAAGATGGTTGAGATGTAAGAACTAGTGTTGAAATCATGAATTAGAGAGCCAAAACTGGATTCCAAATGATTTTAAAAGCTAAACAACAAATAAACTTTTGAGCCAAAAAGTACCTCAAGCAAATCTTTCTCAAGCCGTTCCTTCAACTGTTGCATTGATGCTGTTCCACCAGCAAGCTACAACAAAGCAGAAAGAGAAGGAACCAAATCAGCATTGAAATTTTAAACATTATCTAGTGAGCTACAATGCATGTATTTCTTCCTTCATTTCTTTTTGTCATTGTAGATATTCATAGAACTGATTCTATGATATATGGTACTCTGGAATTAAAATTGATGTCCGTAGTTATGTGAAATCTATGGCATGAAACACAAACTAAATTTACATGAACCATAGCCGACTCTATTTGTTGATTAAAATAGTCAACTAAAGTTGTTGACCACTTGGGGCTGTGTTTGGCCCTGCATTGCTTTTAAGTTAAGCAGCTTTTGATTTAGCCTTTGAATGTAAAGTGTTTGGTAAAGAGCTTACTCTTAGAAAAAGCAGACATCATCTCAGATAAAAAGGTAAAAGCTGAATATAGAGAAGGCATGTCTTCCCCTGCTTATCTTATAATCAGCTTAAAAAGGCGTTTTACTTGTAAGCATTACAGGGCCAAACATGCATTCAATCTTCTACCCCGCCGAATAAAGGGGAAAAAAGAAGAGAGAGCCTCCAAAAATAAAAAAGAAAAACAAAGAAACCTTCAAATGTTAAGGGCACAAATGATCCTATACCCCAATCATTCCATCAGTTATCATGCTATCCACACATTTTTCATTAGTTACCAACATTACAATCACCGTTGATAATGAGCTTATTCACTTTACCAGTATACTACTAAACAGTTCTCTTCGAATATCAACATCACACTTATTAATGCTTTCGATAACCTGCAAACATTGTGAAAGAACTAGTTAACTAGAAGTCATAGAAAGGTAACTAGTTATTTTTAAGTTCAACAAACAATTTGTTACGTAAAAATGAGTAAATTTACCATTTGTGGCAAGCCCCGAACACTTGGAGCAATCTCCGCAAAATTATCCATACCAGGAATTGTCTGATATTAGTCAATAAAACAATTTATTAGTGAACACATGCTGAGAAATTTCACAATTGAAATACCCGATGAATTTATATACAATCTACAAACCATTTGCACACCACAAATAATTCAAATTCGTGAATATTTCATACAAACATCAGATTCACAAGTACTAAGAAAAGGATACTAATTGGTTAAATATACAAATTAAATGATCACTAAGCCTGCTTATGCTGAAAAAAATTGTCATTTAAAGCACAAGCATCAAAATTCGGAAACAAATAAGATTTCACGAATACTTCCCGAAATATTCTAAAAAGATTCATTCAATAACCACGAATAGAAACTACATTAAATGACAAAATTACAGTGAAGATGCACCAAACACAAAAGTGACCCCGCATTATAAACATTTTATCCACTTTATTATTATTATTATTATTATTATTATTATTATTATTATTATTATTTAGCCAAAATTCTTGTCCACCATTAATTGCTAACATGTACTTGTGGCAGCCAAAAAAACAAAAAAAAGTTTGCATAGACCTTTTAGAATTACCCTCGATCAATGCAGTTAAAAGAAGAAAATAGAAGTAATTTGCAAAAATTATAGCAAATCTACACATTGTCCCTGAAGTAAATAAATTAATGGACATCCCCCAAAACAAGTAAGAATATTGCAGAGTGACAGAAAATGCAATGCACAGAACATGGAAGAGGCATTGAGAGGGTTCCTGAGCCATGAACCTGAACCAAGGATGGATTGAATAGAATATCAGGGATCTTGAATCTATCAGCTCCAATTTCAATTGTCCTGTTTGTGTTTAAGAACAAACGTCAGATAGAGGGAAAAAAAGAAAGAAGAAGCAATATTCAATGTTCAAAATGCAAAAAGCAAACCAAAGAGCATCAAACTGGATAATATTGTATTGCATGGAGACTTACTGGCCATCAGGAAGCTCATATGGAGTCATTGGAATGTTGGAGTATGAACTTTCTGAATTTGCAGAGAAAAAGGAAGAAACAACAGAGAGATAGAAAGGTTAGCGTAAATGAATGCTTGTAATACTCAAAAAAATATATATATATATATTACAACTCGTTATATGTAATATATTGAGGGTGCAACCAACATAACTAAGCAAGAGATTAAGTTTACAGAGCAACAGCATGATTGTCATGATTTTATCATGGAAAAAGTGGATCATTCAGTCATCATGGATTGGTTGAGAAGGCATGTTCCTTGGCTTCCAAAGTTTGCACATTTTCTGGAATTCTATTTCACCAATTTGGAAAATGTTAAGCCACTGTCCATTACTTTTGAAGAAGAAAGTTGCTTTGGGAACTTTGGGATGCATTTAGAAGCCAGAAAAATTCAGGGAAACTTCAGGAAAATGTTTGACAGCTTGTTCACACAGAATAACCCAAATCTTAAGACACTAACCGTACAAAAAAAAAAAAAAAATTGGAGCAGGCTTCTAAGATACAATTCAAGTTTCATTTGCTTTCTTAATTCTACATCAACAGTGCTCCAACCCCTCAATGGACAAATGGACACATTTCAAGTAGACAGCAAACAGATATTGTCAGGAAGCTGATGCCTAGGATTAAACAACAATAAAATGAAAGTTGAATGCAGCTCTAAGGTTGTCAAACTACAAATAAAAGAAATACAGTCAAACTGGATTTACCACAAACCATATCCACATACAAAAAAAATATATACGATCCAGAAATTGTCTGTTGAGTGGCTCATGTGATGTTAATGGAGAAAGCCTACAAGCAATCAAGCATTGTAAATACAACATGAAGGAACACACACCATCATAGGGTGTATCAGGGGCTCGGCACACACATTCCTTGATATCACTTGCAATTACTCTCTGTTTCCAAAACAAACAATTAGATACCAAAAAAATCCTCATCTTCCCAAGGAGGAATATTGTCTAGTCAATCACAGACCTGAGAGTAGAGTCTGTAGCTTTCAGTTGTATTTGGAAAATCAAGATCCACCGTCTACGATCAGAAAAATGGGAAAAAAAAACGTCAAAGACATATATTAAAAAAAAAAAAATCCTGATGAACAAAAAACAACTGTGGAAAAATTAGATCTGAATTCACAAAGCAAAAGAAATGCTGAGTGGTATCTAGCACAAACATGGAAAAAGGATCATCTTCACAAAAGATAACCCAAAACAATTTCCATTGACGTTTTAAAAATACCTGAAACACCCCAGGCTGTATTTCCTTTCTTTTGAAAGAGTACCTTGGTTTTATCTGTATAACCAAATAAAAAGATTACTTGCAAAAGAAAAAACAGATCATCCTTTAGTTAGTTCTGACAAGACAACTCATCTTTCAAAGCACAAAATCATTCCTATACTCACTCACCATGATACCTTTTTTGTTCTCCAAGCTTTTCAACAAGCAATCAGTGAGAAGTTCTCCTCCAATGGGAGAAGATGCCACTGCCTATAATCACAAAAACAATGAAACGAAAAGGGCTGTCAGTTTGTCAAGGGCAAATAACTCTGATTTAGAACTTTGACATTAAAGAAGGGCATGATCTTAGCCAAACTTTAGAGTTCGCAGATGCTCTAAATATTTAGGAAAGAGGAAGAGAACTGCAATCAGTCCACTTCTGGCAAGTTATTGGAAAAACAGTTTGATATATTTTAATTACGTTCCAATAATTGGAGTGTCCTCTAGTAGTTATTCAACAGGCTTGGAGTGCTCTCCTGCATAGAATCCATTTTCCTTTATCTTTTAGGAGCATCTCTTATTATGAAAGCAATTCTTGTAAATGCTTCTTTACAAATGAATTTCTTTTTCTTCTCCAACAAAAACACAAATATCAAAGTAACTATTTTTTTTCCTGCTTGCCAACTACAACAAGACAATTCCAATCAAAGACATCAACACTATTATCTCTTGGCATGCCAAAGACAGATCATTTCAGCAGATTTATCTTGTTGTTTAGGGAAAAACTCATAATGTTAGATAGGATAAAAGGAATGACCAAGAAAAAAATAGGAGGGACCTCCATGCTCACATGCAAGCACATAGACATTAAAACATTTAACAAATTCTCTGTTCATTTTAAAGGATATATCATGCTGGTCCTTCCAAATTCGATAATTCCCAATGGAACTAACCAATATCTTCCAATGAAAATTGAACATGTCAAGATTAGAGAATTCTACTTGCAATTTAAGTTAGGAAATTTCTACAATAAAAAATAAAATAAAATCAAATGGTTTATTGTTGATAATCTAGAGACAGACATCATAGCCCAATCACAATTATTTGCAAGCAACAATGCCACTTGATCAGGAAAAGAGCAGTACCTTTTGAAGAACATAACCATCATGAACTGGGGCAATTGTAGTTGATCCTCCACCACTGGCACAGATACCATTTTATCAGGGTTATATTATGCAATAAATCAAGAAATATGTTTTAAAAAGGATGGCAAATAGATGTAAGGGAAACAAAGGGCACATCATAATTTGTTCTTGCAAATAAGATCCTTCTATAAGAAATTTTCAAACTTCCAAACATGTTAACATCTATGTTATAGTTTCCAAACATTGATTAGAACCAACACCGATTTAAGCAAATAAATTGCCATGTTAATACCATAGAATGTTTCAGTCTTGTAGGTTTAGCAAATTGCTATCAGCTTTTCAGGATGAGGAAATCACCAATTTCAAATTATGCCATCCACCATTGTCATTGCACAACTTTAATGTTCTAAGTTTTAGGATATTGTTCATGGAAGAGAAATGCACCCGTTCGAAACTATGTTATTTGCCACTGTCGAAGCTATGTTATTTGCCACTGTCGTGATGCATCTTAACATCAAAATGTTAAAAGCATGTCCTTTTCCTTGTATTTTGTTCTTTTTCATTAATTAATTAAAGCTAGGAACAGCTGAACTATAAGGAGGAGGGGGAGGTTGCAGTACACTGATCTGCAGTAATTAAGCCCACAGTTGATTCTTCCATCTCAACTATTCTTGTTAGAACATGCATGGCAAGAAATACATTGTGGAGATAAGGGACAAAACAGTTGCTATCAACTAAAATAGCATAAGTAGTAAGAAGGTTGAAGTTATGTGCAAAATAAATGCAGAAAAGCAATGACACTAAGAAATTATACAGTCATGTCAACAACTATATAAATCCTACCTATCAACAACTAGTGAGGTGGCACGTCCTGATGCAAAAGATGTTAGAACCTGGCAGCAAGAGGAACTTGAGTCACACCAAATTGAACAAGATTCTCCAATCATACTAAAAATAATACAGTACAAGTTGGAGATGTGTGCACAAGATGGAACAAGGACATACCGCATTCTTCGCCAAAAATAATGCAGGAACATTGTACTTTTCAAACATAAGCTCCGCTGCCCTGTCAGTTATGCAACACCCCAACCATAATCAGCAAGCATCAAAGAGGCATGATGAACAAGCCAAAACCAAGAAGTTAATTTCTTTATTAAAACACAAGCTGGAATAAAAGGAATATTTTTATGAAGATTTATTACCAGCACAAAAGCAAGCTAAAGAATAATTATTTAAGGTCAAGATCACAAAAAAGTTAACTTTAAAGAAACAATGTCAATCTAAACAATGGAGGAACAAGCCTTACAAGACAGGAACTCACTTGGATCACTTAGAACCATTTAATAAAGCATATGATTACCGTGGGAAGCATACATGAAGCAAAACATATTGCTAAACTAGGATTTTTTTTCCTCCCTTCCTTCCTTCGGGAATAGATCACAATATTTATTTATTTATAGAGAACAGCCTTGATATAACTTCATAATTCATACCACAATATTAGTAATCAACAAAAATCAAAGGCATCAGAAACTGTCATTCTCATAGAACCTTGACAACCAAGAAATCATTTATTTGATCAAGAGAGTTAATTCCAGCTAATGTACAAAGATAACAAATTCTGAAAAGTGCTGATGGCATTAAATGATAAAAGTACAGAATAGCATGGATTGCCAGCTTACCTTTCTCTCTGCTGCTGACTGTTGGAAGAAGGTTCTGCAAGCAGCATTGGGTGCTCCTTCGGATCAACCAATAGACACTCTCTAAAGACAGTAAAATTTTAGATATAGATATTACAAAATAAAAGAATAGAAAACAAGAAAATTTAATTTTTTAAAACGAAATCAGGGTGTTGATAATGAATCTTACCTGAAAGCATGATCCCATATGCTATCCACCATATCCCAGTCAGCAACAATCCCATCCTTGAAAGGTGATAACACCTGATGAAAAGCAGAAAAACTTAGGAAAACGCTGAATTTATTACATAGCCTAAACACACCCCACCTAGTCTCCCAAAAATATGACAATAAAATAATTAGAAAACCGACTGACCTCCATATGATCCCGTCGAAATCCTAAGGACTGAGATCCTACATACAGTTTACGTTTTCCCTTCCCTTTCTCGGAATCTTTGCCATTATTTTTAGAATCTACAGCAGCATTTTTCTCGTTGCTTGTAGTGTCATCAACGTCCATTTGATCAATTGATCCAACGACCTGAGTAGTAGTTATACATGTATCAGAAAAACCTCTAAAACAAGGAAAAATAATAACAGCAACAATCTCTAAACCCTAGCTAACAGTCACAACCATTTTGCCAATTTCTTCTTCACTGAACCGGAGAGAAGGCATAAACATTACCCAATTTTGAAATTTAAAACACGAATCCTTGTTTTTAAAAGCAGAAAAAGAAAACAAAAAAACGTTAAAGTGCTGCTAATGTAGGTTAAATAAGATGTGGGAGAGAGACTGACAGAAGGAAAGACGGCCTTAGGTGCGTCCTCGCCGGCATAACCAGCTTTACAAGTGTGAGAGCCCAAGTCAATAACTATAGCTGATACTTCATCTGTTTTCACAGACAAAACAAAACAAAATTATAAGCACAAAAAAAGAAAATTGAAAAGACAGAATTTCCGAGACAATTGCAGAGTAGAGTAGTTAGGGTTTTTGAAACTCACCACCACCGTACATGATTGCTGCAAGTTTTCAAGAGTGATTAAATTTCAGAGGTTTCTCAGGTTAGGGTTTTAGAAAGAGCATATGGCTCGGTCCCTCTCGATGGAGGAAGGAGTTTTTAGCAAGTCAAGACTTTATCCCGATTAGGTCTGGTTTGTAGCCCGAGTTTCGACTTGTGATTTATGGTGGCCCAGAACCCGTGAGAAAGAGATGGACTACAAAACTTCAAGCCCGTCCATTCACGCTTTTATTCCTTCTCTTGGGGTTGCTTGGCCAAATTACATGTAAATTATTCAAACAAAGTTTAATAATGTAAAGAACTTCTGTTTTTTTTTTTTTTTTTGTAGTTCTAAATTAGTTTTTTTACCACACTATGCTGTGAGTTAAATAAAATATATAAAATTATTTAAAAAAATTATTTTAGTTTGATAGTCTGGTTTATGGTATAAATTTATAAAAATATATGAAATCAAAGATGAAAAAAATTATTTATAATTTTTTAATAAAAAATTTTGTATTTAAAAATTTCTTATTTTTGTTTTCACAATGTTTTCTTTAGAAAAAGGATTTATCCTTTTTAATCCATGCATCATTAACTAAAACGAAAATTAAATAATTTTTTTTAAAAAAACTTTGGTATTTTATAAGATTGTGTCAAAAAACAAAAACAAAAACAAAAATTATTAAAAGTTTACATAGAATTGAACAAATAATTTTTTTTATGTAATGTTGATCAAAATATCAGTTTTTTTAAAAAATATGAATTTAATTTTTATATATTTATTTACAAACAAATGAATAATATTAAAATTAAAAAAAAACTATATTAATTTGACTTTCAACTATTAATTAATTAATTTGAGTTTTTTTCTAAAACAAAATGAGAAAAAATTATTTGAAATACACTTTTAATCTAAAAAAATATTTAGACAAATTATATCTATTAATCATGCCACTATAATTTAAAAGTTATCTAAATCTATTTTTCAAAAGAAAAAAATAATCATGTTCTAAAAATTTATTCCAAAATCCATACATATAAAAAAATAAATCAAAATTATCAGTAAATATAATTTTAAATTAATTGGATGAGAATTTTAAAAAATGACAAATTAAAGAAGCAAATTTTAAATAATAAAAATAATTAACAAAAAATACTAAAAAAAAAGGACCAAATCTCAATATAATCAAAGTTTGAAATAGAAAAAAAAATAGAAAATTTAAAAAAATGACAAATTAATGTAGTAAATGTTAAATAACATAAAACACAAATTGAGAAAAAAATTATTTGAAAAACACTTTTAATCTAAAAATATATTTCAGACAAATTATACATAGTAATCATGCTAGTATAATTTAAAAATTATCTAAATCTATTTTTCAAAAAAATAATAATCATGTATTAAAAAGTTATTCCAAAATCCATACATATAGAAAGATAAATCAAAATTATCAGTAAATATAATTCTAAATTAATTAGATGATAATTTTAAAAAAGGATAAATTAAAGTAGTAAATTTTAAATAATAAAAATAACTAAAAAAAGGCACTCGAAATAAAATGGGATCAAATCACAATATAATCAAAGTTTGAAATTGAAAAAAAATGAGAATTTAAAAAAAAACGACAAATTAATGTTGTAAATTTAAAATAATATAAAAAATAAGAAAAAATTATTCAAAATACACGTTTAATCTAAAAATGTATTTTAGACAAATTATATATATTTATCATGCCACTATAATTTAAAAATTATCTAAATCTATTTTTCAAAAGAAAAAATAATCATATTTTAAAAATTTATATCAAAATCCATACATATAGAAAAATAAATCAAAACTGTCAAGTAAATATAATTTTAATTAATTGGATGAGAATTTAAAAAATGATAAATTAAATTAGTAAATTTTAAATAATAAAAATAATTAACAAAATACACTAAAATAAAATGAGATCAAATTGCAATATAATTAAAGTTTAAAATTAAAAAATAATAATAATAATTTCAAAAAAAATGACAAATTAAAGTAGTAAATTTTAAATAATAAAAATAATTAATAAAAAATACTAAAACAAAATAAGACCCAATCACAATACAATTTAAGTTTGAAATTGAAAAAAAATATAAAAAAATTGAGGACCAAAGTATTATAAAAATACTATGAATAGCGAAAGGAATAGTGATTTGTGAGTGTGTAAATAGTATTTCAAATAATGAACGAATAGTAAAACCATGTTTTACTTTAGTTTGATTGATAATTTCCAATTCACACAAGTGGCTACGTACAATTTTTCAAAAATTATTTATAACGAGTGGTGGTTGATGGCTATGTAAGGAGAGGCGATCTTGTAAAAATAACATTCCTTAAATAACAAATTAATCTAGTTTCTTATAAGAAGTTAAGAATGTTGAAACTCTCTAAAGGTCTAATTCTTTTGTGGTTTCTTGCTTTTCTAACCTATTGATAGAAGAAAAACCAATCAAACAATTAAATGATGAAAGTTAAGATGTGATGCGAGAGCATCCACTCTTCCATTTACTCAAAAGGTTGGCACCCTTAAGTAACCAAACATTTCATCGCTCTATTCTTTTAATTTTATTGTCTTTTATTTAATTAAGTTATCTTTTATTTATTTGGCCTTTATTTTATTTAATTGGGCTATTTTTAGTTGTATGAACTTGGGCTAATTAATTAGTGCTCTTAAGTTTTGGATTTCCTATTTTATTAAGGACATGGCCGCATGTGGTCTAGCGGGCAATTTAATTCTTATATAATATGGATCCTTATTTGTTAGGAATTCCTTTAGTTACTTTGAATCTATATAATGTGTGGGTCTAGATTTAATTAGGTTGAATTAATAAAGTTTTAATTAAAGATGAAAGACACAAGTTCAAGTCAAATTAGAAAAAGAGTCCAATTTAGAAAGAGTGTCATAATCGCCAAAGAAGGAAAATCCTACCCTAATCGACTTGTAGGGTTTTATTGTGTGAGTATTTAAGCACACTTTGTGCTACATTTTCGAAGAATTTGATGAATACTTGAATAAAACTTAAAGTGGATGCTCCGAAACTTTTTGTGTATCTCTTTTTCTTGGACTCGGATAAGACGTCGTGAACACATTCTTAGATTGATCGATTAAGGTAGGCTTAGATTAAAATTATATCGAGTGGACTCTTGATGAGCGTATCTTGTAAGCACTCTCTATATCAACTCGAGTAATGGATCTCTACTTAGGAGCAAGGCATTAGGGCTTGCTTTATTTTTCTTTGTCTTGTTGCTTGTTAAATTGTGAGCATATTAGAATTCTAGATCGAACAGTTTCGATCTTCATACCGACAATCTAAACTATGGATTTTATTTTGATATGAAATTTTGACGAGTAATTAGTTAAGGGTTTGATTTAAATCTTATAAAAAAATAAAAAATATTTGATAAGGTTTTAGGGTCATGGAAGTAGGTATAAATTCTGAAACCTATTCTATCTAGAATTTTGACTAGTTAAAAATTGAGGTTAAAGACTTTAGATTAACCTAAAATTTTACATGCACATGCTTCTAGTTAGTATATAGGTTTTGTAAAAATTTCAATTAAATTTAAGTTGATTTCTTAGAGAATGCCCCTCCTCAATATTTGGGTTTGTGTGTTTGTGGTTTGGTGATTGTGTGATCTTGTTTGTGTTTGTAATGAGGATCTTGTTGATTGAGAATTATGTTTGTGATTGTGTGTATTTGAGGTCTATTTGGAGATAATTTGAGGCTGGTTTTATAGCTTGGGTGTTTCGACTTAGGGCTAGGTGGTCGTTGTTTGTTATTTGAGTTTTTTCCAAAGCTTGGCATCTCTAGATCCAACATTAGGATTTTTGAATAAGCAAGCATAAAAATTCACACATTATTTGAATAAAATTAATAAAGGCTTAAGCTTTAAAGAAAATGAATTACTACTCAATATTTTTTTATTCGAGTTGTTTACTAATATAGCTAGATGGGTAGAGTACCATAGGAAATAGCAAATTTGTTGGCATGCATAATATCACTCTTGAATGGAGAAAATTTGTCCGATTGTGTTTGTCAAAAATATTTATGCGCTTGTGAAGCATGTGACTCAATAGTGGTGCATTTTATGTCCTCGCCATGTATGACATAGCTTTTCAATAATGTCAATAATTATGCAAAATAGTTAATGTAATATTTTTCTATAAGTTGAGTAAAATAATGGCCTTGTTTTTTTGTGACCCGACTTAGAAAGTGAGTTTTTTTTTTTTTTTTTTGTGGTCGTTCATCTTGTGGGTTATTATTTAAATGTTTTGTGTTGTAGCATGTGTGGAGTAGTAGTATTTGTAATGATATTTTTGTCAAATTACAAACTAATCTCATTCACCATTGTAGGAACCTAAAGATGCTCGAAACTTCTCCTTGTGGTTTAAATTTGTATTTTCCATGGAATTTTTAATGAAAAATTTGAATTTTCAAGTTAGTATTGTCATCCACTAACATAGCTAGCTAGCTATAGTAGTAGAGAGATACAATTTTGATAGCATGAGTGAGTCACTCTTAATGAAGGAATTTGTTTGATTGTGTGATGAAGGTGGTGCATGTTTTTTCATATGTTAAATGAAACAAATGAATACCTACCTCAAAATTGGATTCATTCAATTATCTATTGATATAGATAGACATCTAGAGTAGCATAAGAAAGAAGAAATTTGTTAGCATGGGTGAAATCACTCTTGAATAAAGGAAATTTATCTGATCGTGTTTGCCAAGCATATTTGTGTGTTTGTGGGCATGTGATTCAATAATTACACATTTCATAGTCTATTATATGAGATATGGTTTTCAATGATGTCTTTGATTGTGCAAAATAGTTCATGCAATGTTTTTTTACATGTTAAGTAATTATTGTCATTTTAAATATTTTTTGTTATGGCATGAAATGATGCTTCGACGATAAAAGCTGGTTTGGTTATGCAATTTTTTTCTAAACTTAAAGGCAATTATTATAGTAAAAGAAAAA